GTGCCCTTAGTGGGAACCGAACCCAGGTCTCTCCGGACCGCAGGCCGACACTCTAACCGCTGAGCCAAACTGGCCAGGGCTAGAGTGTCATCTTGATAAGCCAAGGTTGCGGGTTCAATCTCAGGTCAGGGCACATAGAGGAATCCACCAATGTGCATAAATAAGTGGAACAAAAAAATCTCTCAATCTCTCTCTCTCCCCCTTCCTCTCTCTTTAAAATGAATAAATAAAGTTTTCTTTAAAAAGCCACTGGTGAGCCCAGCCAGTGTGGCTCCATGGTTGAGCGTCAACCCATGCACCAACAGGTCACCGATTCAATTCCCAGTCAGGGCACATGCCCAGGTTATAGGCCCGATCCCCAGTGGGGGTCATGTAGGAGGCGGCCAATCGATGTTTCTATCTCTCTCTCTGTCTCCCTCCCTCTCTCTCAGATCAATAAAGGACAAAAAAAATTTTAAACCACCGGTGAGAGTTAGAAAACAAGCTGACTACAAAAGCTGGTGGGAACGGTGCTGTAGTTGAAGGAATGGCTGACGCTGATGACCAATAACTCACAGAACAGACTTGGTGGGCAGTGACCCTCCAGCAGTGCCCAGCAGTCTGCGGTGCAGGGAGAGAGAAGGCAGAAGTTTGGTCTCTTTGGCTGCTATGGTTTTACAACTAAAGGATGAAAGGGATACAGCACAGGATGTTGGCAACAGAGAAATGACCTAGCTCTCAACAGAAATTAAAATGATGGCTTACATCCTCAAATCTGAGGACAGGGAGCATATGAGATCTTAATGCCCCGGCATAAGCCATCAGTTTGGCTCAAATAAACTCATAAAAAAATCTCTCCAGGTTTGGACGTTTCTTACATCAACAAAGACTAATATTCTTTCTGTTGTTGTTAATCCTCACCTGAGGATATTTTTCCATTGATATTTAGATAGAGTGGAAAGGTGGGGGGCATCAATGTGAGAGAGATACATCAATTGGTTGCCTCCTGTATGACCCTGATCAGGCCCGGGGATCAAACCTACCACCCAGGTATGTGCTCTTGACCAGGAATTGAACCCACGACCCTTAGGTCTGTAGACCAATGCTCCGACCACTGAGCAAAACTGGCCAGGGTAAGGACTAATATTCTTACATATCATTTTTGCATCCAAAAACAATATGCCTCTTTATTAAAGTCATTTTCTATTTCTGAGGACAGAGGGCAGGGGCAGTGATAAGGTCAACAGAACACAGGGCCCAGTGAGGCTAAGGATGGTGCTATGGACTGAATGTTCATGTCCTCCCCCAGCCTCCCAAATTCCTATATTGGAGCCCTAACCCCCAACGGTATTTAAAGATGGGCGGTGGGGAGGAAACTTGGGTTATATGAGGTCATGAGGGTGGGCCTTTGTGATGACACTAGCGGCTTTCTAAGGACAGAGGTCTCCCCACTGCGGGCGGAGGCCGGATCGCGTGAGGGCACAGCAAGGCGGCTGTCTGCACGCTGGGAAGTGGGCCCCCAGCAGACCTGACCCTGCTGGCACTGATCTTGTACTTCCAGCCTCGCCTGTGAGGAAATACATTTCTGCTGAAAGCCACTGAGGTATGGCACTGTCACTGCAGCCTGGACAGGACGGATGCCGGGGCCATGGAATGAGACGTCTGAATGTGGTCCCTTTGCTTGTTCACTCATCTGTCAGACCTTTTGGAGACGCTGGAGGAAGAGGTGACTTTTCCCAAGCTGGTGGAGGAGGTGGAGTGGAAGGGACCACCATGAACCAGGTAGCTTTAGGTGAGGAAGCGCGAGAGCTGGAGGCCAGAGGTGGGAGCAAGGGAGAAGCAGGTTTCTACAGGAGGGGGGACAGGCGAGAAGGCGGCCACGAGGAGCAGCAGCCCTGCGCGCCGAGGCGCCCACCCCGCTCCCTGGCGTGGACAGGACGCCTGGCCAGAGGGAGAGGCAGGAGATGGCGTTCCCTTCTAAGGGGCCAGGACACAGGGCGGGCTTCTGCTCACCTGCAGCAGCTTCAGAGACTCGGGTGTGAGCCAGGGCTGCAGCTGCGAGAAGTCAGGGTCAGGGCAGTGGGGGCAGTGTCAAAGCAGAGGCGTGGCTGGGGAGGTGCGGGGGCGCCTCAGAGTTCTGACAATGACACGGTCAACCCAAGATGCACAGGAGAGTGGTCAATCTCAGGGGTCTCTCTGAGGAGGGTGGGCACCGAGCCTAGTGGCCAGGGGGCTTCTCCTGGGCGGCTGCAAAGGAAACCAAGAAGCTAACCTGTGTGCCCAGGGCACAGGCCACGGACCAGAGGGTCTTCACCTCCTCACTTGCTCTCAGATCCAGCCCCCTCCCAGTCCCACCGCCATCACCCCACTTCAGCATCGGAATGCTGTGAGCATTCACGGAGGTCATAAATGTTTGCAGCCGGTCTCGTGTTGTAATGATGCGCCGTCTGCTTTCTCTGCTTCTGCTTTTGGCCCCTCCCAACATACTTTTCAGATCGAGAGTAATTTTTAAAATACAAAACGTATTGAGACTCTCACGCTTAAAGAAAAACAGTGGTTTTTATTGCCCGCAGAACAAAGTTCAGAATTAAGGGTATGCCCTTCTAAGCCCCACCTGGGTCTGGTTCCTCAAACTCCCAGAAGTCCTTGCAGCTGCAGCCCCTGCCTGCCTTCCCTTCACCTGGCCGGCGGCCATCTAACCTCAGGGGCGCCTTCCCAGTTCCGCACGGGAGGTCAGCCACCTTGTTTGACAACAGTGCCCTGTCCTCCTAGCCCCTGGCATCCCTCCGAGGTTCTGGGAGCAGTTTTACAGCCACAGAGAACTGTCCATCTCTGGGGTCAGCATGCTCCCAAAGGGAGGGCAAGGGGCACAGGACCTCCATGACGGATGAGTGGGTAAGTGGGCAGAGCATGAGGCCAAGTCCAGAGGCGATGAGTCGGGGCCCCTGGAGGACTCAGCCCGGCCCCATCCTGCCCTGGGGAGGGAGGGAGGCCCTCCCCTCCTGTCTCCTTATACCCTGGGGACAGACCGCTGAAGCCCTCTGCCATTCGCACCCAGCCAGGGCAGCCAAGATTACAGAGTCCTTGACAATTGGAGTTAAATGACCTATAAAACCATCCAATTGAACATGGGAAGCCTGAGACCCAGAGTAGGAGGGCTTTGCACCCGAGCTGAGAGGTAAGCCTTGCACTAACCCCCATGAAGCTGACTGTAACAGGAGTAAATGGGTCACTGCCAGCATGTCCCCTGAATCTGGGCTGTCCTGTGTTCACCAGACCGAGGGAGAACAGCCAGAGCCCAGACAGGCTGCCCACAGCTCCTCAGGGAAGAGTCCAGATCAAGCCTGCATGTCTCCTCTGAGGTCTCAGCTGCTCACCTCCCATCAGAGGAAGCCACAGGGCACTTTGTAATACATCCAGAGAAAAACCTTTCTCCCCAAGGGCCCACGATCCCTAACAAAATGAAAGTCTCTGAAGACTTGCCCAGAGGCGACAGATGAGTCGTGCATTTATGCTTGTGCCCATAGAGAATCCATTTCAGCCTCTCCCCAGGAAAGATGACTGTGTCTCCAAGCGACGCAAGTGTCCACACTCGGCGCTGAAAACCGCCTTCAGCTTCGAAGCGGCTGTCTTCCCACTCCTCTCCGGGCTTTTTATTTCTCCCCTTGGCAACTTCAGCCCGGGTGCCAGGCTGCGCCAAGAAAGACTTTTCAGTGTCCTCAAGGGAAGCCGTCAGCCTGGGACTCCATGCCCGGGTAAGCAGCAGGATGCAAAACAGAGCCTCTGTCCATCACTTCACAGCTGAGAACTGTGGGGAACCATGACCCACGTATTCCAGAGAGTTGCTGGACGCGTCCATGCTGGGTTTACACAGAGACAAAACCTGGCCCCGCACCCACCACCACCTCGAGGCCCCGCGGAGGAGAGCTAGGGAGGGAGGTTCGGACCGCCCTCTTTGGAACTGGGCTGCCAGAGACAAGGAGAGACCGGAACTCTCTCTCGGAGGGGGCCAGCCGGAGATGCCTTTGAGGGCTGGGCAAGGGAAGGGGTGGTGGGCACACGCCCTTTCCCCCCGCTGGTGGCACACGGATGAGAGCTGTGTTCTGGGAAAGGTGCCTGCAGGAGAGAGCACGCGGGGCCATGCTGGGAGCAGGAGCTGGGGAGGGTCCCGTGGGCAGTGGCGAGTCCATGGGTCCTATTAAGGAACAGTGTAGAAGTCCTGAGGGGACGGCTGGACAGCACGAAGACACCCGTGGGAGCACTGGCTTCCAGGTGTCTGCTGGGCGCGTGGACTGGTGACCAGCTAGCGCCTCCGGGACAACTACATGCCAGCAGCGAAGTCAGAGACCAAAGACCACTCCGTTCTCTCCCCTCACCCGGTCCGGGCCCTCCTGAGCCAGCAGCAGGACGATAAAAGGGAGGAGGGGCACAGAGAGGAACAGAACACACGTCCCCTTGGTCCCGAGCCACGGGTGAGAGCCGAGTCCGGGCGGTGGGATGGGGGGTCTTTGAAAAAAAATGCAAACTGACTTCCCCTGGACATAGTCTTCTCTCCGCAGGATCAGATGTCCTGGGGGTCCCCACCGTGGCCACAGGGCCCTGATCTAGCCACTGGAAGGATCCACCACCTTCTGACCCACAGACAGCTTCCCACCTTCCTGCCGGGACAGAGGACACAACTCCACGCTCCCTCCGCCTACTGCACGCGCTCAGAAAGGCCCCACCTGGGGGTTTTGTTCTGGGTCTGACTGTGTTTAGAGGGCAGGCGGACCCAGGCTGGGGGGATCAGGGGGGCCATACCTCCCACAAGACTATGAGAGAACAAGGTGAGACCAAGACCCAACCCAGAAGAGAGTGCTGGAGGCGGGGCTCAGGGATAAGGCCACGAAGCAGAGGCCCTGCCCCAGGTGCCCCGGGAGCGGCCTGGCAGCCGGTGCTGGCATGGAGTCGGGTCCTGGGTGCTGCCCCATCAGCAAAGCCTGCGGTGCTCTCAGGGCCCAGCCACGTCCAGGGCAACGGCATCAGAAGTACGTGCTACTCCCTGGGCTGGAGGCTCTTCCTGGGGCCTCCATTTCATTTTCAGGGGTCGCTACCTTCTTGGTCCTAGAGGGAGTAAAAAGCCATCACTGACTGCCCAAGAAGTGGTCCCAGAGCAGTGTCCCTGCCCTGCCCTCCCCTCCTCTGTCCTCCCTTCCCCGCCCCTGCCCTCCCCTCCCCTCCCCTACCCTGCCCTCACCAAGTATGGGGAATCTAACCCAAAGCCAGTCTGTGGATCCTAAAACGCCCCCATACTGGTCTCTGAGCAACAATGGACCAATGGTGAGGTCAAGGCTTGAACTTGAGATAGGGGACACTGATGTGAAGCCAGGGTCCTGGGCTGCAGAGAGAGCACGCAGCTCACCGTGGGCGGGGCTCCTGCTCCAGGTCCATGACGGTGTCCTTCATGGGCTGGCCACGAGTCTCAGGCAGAAAGGCACAGAGCAAGCCTGCCGCGATGGGGAGGCTGCCGTAGATGACCATGGGGAGGGCCTCGTGAAAGTCACCCAGCAGCATCACCAGGGGTGTGAGGATGCCCGCGACCCTCGAGGAGAGGGCCACCAGCCCCATGCCAGTCTGCCTGGGGGAAGGACGGCGCCACTAAGCAGAGCGGCCTCAACGCCAGGCCACAGTGCCACCTCAGTACACTTCCTTGTGAGGGCCAGACCCCTCCTTGTGGCCCCCCAGGCCTGCGGGGCCTCCAGGCTCACCCAGCCCACCCAGCCTTCCTCCTGCACAGTGAACTACTTAGAATCCAACCTAGTCCATGCTTCGGCCACCTCCCGGCCTCTGTCAGCCAGTTTCAGGTGGAAGGCTGCACTCCGGAACACCCCTTCCCCCACCTGATGGTCCCTCTCCCGCGCCATTCATTCTTAGATGCATTCTGTACTGCAGCCCTCACGTGGCTAGGGCATGGCTGACTTCTGTCTGTCCTCCACCAGCCTGGGGACACCGGGGTGTGGACCACATCTGTAGTTGCCCCGGCCCCGCCCAGCACCGCTGCCCAGAGCCAGCCTCGAAAGCTGTTTGTGGGAGGCGGTGAGGATGGAGGAGAGACGGCAGAGCCCGAGGTCTCAGGAGCAGGAGGCGCAGCACGGCCCTTACCTGATGATGGTGGGGAAGAGCTCAGCAGAGTAGACGTAGGAGATGGTAAATCCAGAAGCTGTGGAAAACTTTCCCACGATGGCCAGCACAGTGCCCACTACGGGCAGGTCTGGTGAGGGATGCTTGTCAGCCACACGGAGGGCAGACAGCCCATCACCTGGGCCCTGCTCCCTGCCCTGTCCCCCCAAATTCCCCATCTGCACCTGAACCCAGGGAAGCCCTCACTGTGGAACCAGGTGAGTGAGGATGGGTGGGGGCCGGGGAGAGCCAGTCCTGGTACCTGCCGGGACAAAGATGATGGTGATACACGCGAGGCCCCCTAGAACCAGAGTCCCCATCTGGCTCCACCTGCGACCAAACCGCTGCATCATGAAGATGCTGGAGTAGCGGGCGGGCACCTCCACAGCGCCGAAGATTAACTGCGTCAGGTAGATGTCCAGGCCAAAGTCCCCCACCTGGAGGCTCAGGCCAAAGTATCCCAGACTGTCCACAAACCTACAACGTACCCAAGGGTCCCTGTCACTCTGGGTGATGAGACACCATCACACTCAGAAAGGGCGCCTGACGTGGCCAGAAGTCACGCAGGAGAGAGGCACAGGCGGGGAGAGACCCAGTCCTTCCCGCACAGCCCACCCCCGCCAGAGAGCCACCATGCCACTTCGCACACACACACCAGGGGCACGCCCGGGCCTCACCAGACGCAGAAGAGGATCAGCGTCACCCTCCGGAGCTGGGGGTGTCTGAACAGATCCAGGGCATTCCCCGAGGGGCCCGTCTTCTCTGGGGTCAGCTGGGAGGAAGACTCTGAGTGAGGGGCCAGCAGGGTGCCTGAGCGGGTCAGAGTGGGGGCAGGCAGGGTCCCCTGCCAGAAGTACCTGGCTCAGCAGCTCTGGGGAGAGGTTCCGCCTGTTGGCCGAGGCTGCCTTCTGAATCACTTGTCTAGCCTCCTCGGTCCTTCCCCGGGCCAGCAGCCACCGGGCAGATTCTGGCAGAGCCCTGCAGGTCAGGAACGGCGTGACTGTGGGGCAGGGAGTGGCAGTCCCAGAGCCCCGGGCTCTCCTGGGTGCGTCTCTGAGTGACCCCGAGATGCGCGTGGCCTGGGGCCGCTCCGGGAAGCCTGCTCACCAGACGTAGAAGAAGAGCAGCAGCACGGGCGCCGTGCCGCCGATCTGAAAGAGCCTCCAGTTCCGGACGCCGTAGGCAAGTCCTGCCAGGGCCATCTGCCCGAGGGAGAAGCTGCACTGGGCCAGCACCACGGCCTGAGTCCTCCACGAGGGCCCCACCCATTCGGCCACTGTGAACAGCCACGATGAGACCCCGCCAGACCCTGCCTGCTCACCCCGCCTCCCGCCTCCCGAGAAGCCATCCTGTGAGGGTTGGGGCCTCAGTCCCAGCTCAGGAAGCACAGGTGGCCCCCTGGAGGCAGTCTGGGGAATGATGCCTGTCCCCAAGGCCTCGCCCTGGGGCTGAGGGCTTCAGGGCCAGGCACTCACGCAGGGTGACATTGGTCAAGGCGTATCCAGCGACGGCAGTAGCCACAGCAAAGCGCATGAACATGTAGAGCTCAAAGCTGGGCACGAAGGCTGTGGCCAGGCCGATGACGGCGAAGAGCAGCAGCTGGATCAGGACACTGGCTTTGCGACCGATCCTAAGGGGCAAAGGGGAGTCCAGCAGGGAGTCTCTGAGGGGAGGGAAGAAAGGGAGACCCAGCCCTGCCCCAGGGGCTCTGTGAGGAGGACACACAGCCCCCCCCCCCCCGGGAGCCCCAGGTGAGGGAGAGACTCGGCCCTGTGCCGATGCCTGGCAGCATGCCAGGGAAGGGATGAGCTGGTCAAGGTTCTCACCAGTCACAGAGCGGCCCAAAGATGAGCGCCCCGACGAGGAGCCCCGCCATGTACACTGACTGCGAGGTCTCCTTCAGGTGCTTCTTGTCACAAACTAGGTTGAACTGAGGCAGATATAAGCAGATATGAGTTCAGGGGCAGCTGGGGGCAAGTCCTTTATCATCTAGGCCACCCACTACAGACTTCCCAGGGCAGATAGAAACCCTGACATGAAAGAGAAACATCGACCGGCCGCCTCCTGCACGCGCCCCCACTGGGGATCGAGCCCACGACCCGGGCATGTGCCCTGACTGGGAGTCGAACCAGGACCTCTCAGTCCATGGGACAACACTCAATCCACTGAGCCAGACTGGCCGGGCTGTCTTACTGTTTTCAAAAAGCTTTAAAATTGTTAGGACATAAATGCTTAAGTTGTTTGCAGGGTCAAAAATTACTTAATACATAATACTGTTACTTATTTCTTTTGGTCTGGAGATGCCATAGAAAATTACTGACGTGCTAAGGATGCAGAGTTTGGGGACCTCTGACAGAAGCACTAATTGCTGTTCTCCAACAAATGGGGCCTCTTCCTTGCAGCCAGGAAACCCCTGTGACCTGCCTGGACCTCCCAAGTTCTTACATCTGGAAGCAAAATCCTCCTGAAACTCTCATCATTCATAGGCCATGAGAATACTAAGGGGCTCTCACACCCCCTTGAGAAGGAGGTTAGGACGGAGGATTGAGTATGTATACCTGGTGGGGGTGGGCGGGGCAATGCACCTGAAGACACAGAGAGCACCTGACACATACACAGATTGGGAAACCCCCGGGAGAAACACGCATGTCTGTGCAACTCGGATCACATGTCTACCGTGTGTGCCCACACAGCCCAGGTGATCACCCCAACCCCACTGCTTTGCGGGCCCCTCAGGGAGTTCTGTACGCCCTGCACACAGCCTGGATCCATACACATGTCTGCAGGGGAACGTGACATGTGAGGGCCCCTCCAGGCTCACAGAGGCAGCTTCACAACAGTGACGACGGCCTTTGAGTATCACTGTGTTGGGTAGTGCGCCTCATGCTCTTCGTGCATTATCTCACGTAACTCCACCTCCATCCTTGACTTGCTACTATTCCCCTAAGAAAGGAGAGGGTAAGCAGCTAATCCTAGGCCCCACAGACGGATGTTAGCGGCGTTCAGATATCTCTACTGCCCCAGATGGACTGAGGCTGAATGAAAGCTAAGAAAACGTTTGCTGAGTGAACGAATGAATGAACTAATACCTACCGCGAGCCAACAAGCCAATCATCGTCAGTTAAAGAACATCCCTGGGAATGAAGCAGGGCAGGACAGAGGACTTAAACCTGCTCCACCCAACTCTACCCAGTCTGGTTTTTGTTGAGCAGCCACAGATGGCCTTTGCAGTTAGACACTATTTATATTTTCCCATGTACAGAATGGGGATAAAAGATACTACATAGTATCACCGGAGAGGATTGAAGGAACTAAAACACTAACACTCTTTGCAGGGTAGCCTCACATGGGAAGCTGTCAGTGAGTTGGGCTGACGCACCGCCCCGGTGCAAACGAAGCTCACAGCTGGTGACACGGATGTCTCAGACACGAGGGCTGCCAGGCCAGTAGACTGTTCCAAAGCTGGCATCTCTGCTCAGTGGCCACCATTCACTACCTCCCTGTACTCTGTATACCCCTTATCTCACTGAATCATCATTCCAACACCACGAAGGCGTGTCATTCCCACTGTGCAGGAGCAAACACTGTGGCTTGGAGGTGGCAGGAAGTACCAAAACTCATGGTGGTATCACATTGCACGTGCAACAGAGATGAAGGTACCAACTTGGGACGCCAGTCATCAACCTTGCCCCCCGAACGCCCACAGGGGGTGGTTCTCTCTGGGACCTCCACGGTGGCCCACAGAATCCTGCTCCATTTCTAGGAGTATACCCCATCACATTGCCACCCCTGTTCCAAAGCCTTCAGGGGCGCCCTCTGGTCCCTAGGACAAAGCCCACATCCTCTGCCCTGGACACCGCTCTGTGCGGCAGCATCCCTCAGACAGGCCCGGCACTGTCATGCCTCCAGACCCCGGACTGGCTATTCCCTCTGCTTCCCCTTCCCTCTCATCCCTGCCCCTCTTTGGTCCCAGGACAGACCACCCTGCTGTTGCTATTCAGACGTTCATTTCATCCTTTTACCAAGGACAGGCACCAGGAAATGGTAGACGGGTATGATGAGGAGGAGAAACGAACTCTGACCTTCGAGAGCACACGGCCTATAAGGAAACATGCTCTTCTCAAATTAGGACTGTTTGTATTTCAGGTGTGTTTTTTTTGTTTTTGTTTTTGTTTTTTAACATATATATATTTTATTGATTTTTGAGAGAGAGAGAGGAAGGGAGAGGGAAAGAGAGAGAAACATCGATTAACTGCCTCCTGCACACCTCCTACTGGGAATTGAGCCCACAACCTGGGCATGTGCCATGCCCAGGAATCGAACCAGCGATCTCAGTCCATGGGTCAATGCTCAACCACTGAGCCTCACTGGCTGGGCTGTATTTCAGTTGGAATATGAAGCTGCTGGTTATCAGAGGGAAACTCGGGGTGTCAGCTCAGAAGGTCCTCCGAGACAGCGTGGCGGAGCCCCTCCTTGTGGACAGAGACAGGTAGAGAGCTCACACCCAACCAGCTCTATTCTGGAGCCAAGCTCGGGGCTTCACATGGTGCAGGGCACAGAGCACCAAATCTGCACATTCCTTGGGGTCCACGGGCTCTGGGGGGGTGGGGGTGGGAAGGAGTACGTCCGAGAGGGACAAGGTCCAGGGCCCAGACCCACGGCTGGCCGTGCAGGAGGATGACTGAGGATAAGAGAGTCTCTAAATCCTTGAGAATATCCCCTTTCGATTCCCATACCCCTGCTCACCCCTGCTCCAGACACACCAGGTTCCTGCTGCTTCCTCCGGCCAGTCTTTCTGTTGCTGTTCTGTTGGCAAAGGCTTCCCCTCTTCTCTGCCCTCATTCTTCTGGTACCCTGGGGCCCAGCTCACCTACCAACTCCTTCAGGAAGTCGTCTGCCAATCCCTCTTCAGGAGGAAGCAAAGTCAGCCTCAGAGCCAGCCTGCCCTGTCTCCCTACACGAGGAGCCCAGGTCTTCCCGGCCGTCGGGTAATCGCAGAAGGGGAGTCGGTGCCTCCCTCCGCTGACTGTTTCCTCCACAGTTAACACTCAGAGATCTTTGGTTGAATGAAATTCCCAGAACAGCCCTTCACGGGCTGTGAACCGCGGCCAGCGGTGGCTTCCAACCACCTGGATGTTTGCTGGGCTTTAAGGATGGCGCAATTTGGCCAGGTTGGCAGAGTCCATAAGCATGCCTAGAAGCAGGCATATCCCACAGCATCTGAGACCAGAGGGCCGACTGGGCCAGCTGGATGAGATCCAGAGGGAGGGGAGGGCACAGCGACCTTCTCCCGTGGGTGGCATGAGGGAGACGGCCAGGCCTAAGGCAGAGAAACCTAGCCTCGGGCGCCAGGGCTCTGGGGGTTGGTTTATGGTCACTTATTAAAAAGTGCAAGTTTGCCCTGGCCAGTTTTGCTCAGTGGTTAGAGCATCGGCCTGCGGTCCAGAGAGACCCAGGTTCGGTTCCCGCTAAGGGCATGTACCTCGGTTGCAGTTTGTCCCCGGCCCTGGTTGGTCATGAGGGTGACAGCCACTCGATGTGTCCCTTTCATGTCAATGTCTCTCTCTCTCTCTCTCCCCCTGACTCTATCTGAACAAAAAAATGGAGAAATGTCCTTGAGTGAGGATAAAGATAAATAAATAAATAAATAAATAAATAAAATAAAATAAAAAATGCAAGTTTGCTTTTGGGTCAAAATAAGTGTTTCTTCTCTGGACTCCAAACGGCCCTCTCCACGAAGGCTCGGGCTTGCCCTTCTCTCAAGAACGCCCAGCGTCCCCCTCCTGCAGGGAGCCGGGCAGCAGGAGCCCGCGTGAGACCCAGCTCCATGCTCCGTCCGCGATGTTACCACGCAAAGTCCTATCCCCGCCCGAGCTCGCCCGGCCATCTAGGATACTTTCCCAGGGCCTTTCTTTTCTTTCTTTCTTTCTTTTTTTATCCTCGCCCGAGGACATTTTTCCATTTTTTTGTTCAGACAGAGTGGGAGGAAGAGACAGAAAGAGAGAGACACACACATCGATGTAAAAAGGACACATTGAGTGGCTGTCACCCTCATGACCAACCAGGGCCGGGGACAAACTGCAACTGAGGTACATGCCCTGAGCGGGAACCGAACCCGGGTCTCTCTGGACAGCAGGCCGCCACTCTAACCGCTGAGACAAACTGGCCAGGGCCCCAGGGCCTTTCTTACTTTGAGGCAGCTGGAGTGGGAACCTTTCTGTTTCGCTGTCTGGGTCCCTGAGAATGAATTCAGCAAGAACAAATGATCAGTATTCAACAGGACAAGTCCTAGAGTCACAGGTGTCCTCCAGCATCCCAGAGGTCGGCAGGTGGAGATCCAGAGAAGCTCAAAGGTAGGAAGCCCAAGGCAAGCAAGCAGATGAGCAGACAGATGACAATGGCGTCAGAACAGCAAAACAGGAGGGGACAGGAAGAAAGTCAGGCAACTGGGCAACACAGGAAGAAGGACAGGCAAAGATGAATAAACAGATGGGCAGGGAGACCAGACAGAGAAAATGAATAGAGAGTCCAGCTAGTGTGGCTCAGTGGTTGAGCATTGACCCATGCACCAAGAGGTCGCAGATTTGATCCCCAGTTAGGGCACATGACCAGATTTGGGGCCAAATCCCCAGTGGTGGGCATGCAGGAGGTGGCCAATTGATGTTCTCTCTCATCAATATTTCTATCTATCTCTTTCTTTCCCTTCCTCTCTCTCTAAAATCAATAAAGAAAGAAAATGAAAAGAGGTAGACGAGCCTGGAGGCAGAGGACAGAGAAAAACAAGATAACTGGCAAAAAGACAAGCAGGCATATCAATGGTTAATCATTCAGGCACGGGACAGGGGGCAAGACAAAGACAGCAATGCTAGTGACAGGGCAAAGCACACGGCAGAGGTACCAGGTACCGACAGATCTCAACAAGGGGACAGCCAGCCAAAAGGCAGCCTACCTCACTCTTTAGGGATGGCGGCCTGTCTTCAGGGTAGTCCCAGCCTGCCTCACAAGGCTGTGTCTCATTGAAGCGGTGGCTGAGGATGTCCTCCAGGCTGGCATTGTGAGGGGGTGGCCGGAACATGAGGCAGGGCTGAGGGTTGCCTGCAGCATCCAGAGGCAGACTCAGGGACAGCTGCTCAGCAGCACTCAGGTTCAAAGTATGGTTCTTGACCCAGGCCACTGAACAATAGTGTGTTTCATCCAGGACCATGAAGACCTGGCAAAACATGTAGAAGGCAGACAGGAAGTTGGGGACACTCAGCAGTAGCAGCAGCTGCACCTGAAAGCAACCGAAGTCGCCTATTTCAGCCAAGACTTCAGAAAATTGAGCCATGGTAACTGGTCACCGCGTCCTCAGCCTGAGGCCAGCAGAGAGCTATGCACCTTGGCCCTGGGTTGCTTGCTCATCCTGGCTGTGATAGCAGCTGCATTAATGTTTAACCCAGCTCAGACCTAACTTCACACCTCAGCTCCTGTCAAAGATAGACTAGGATGAGAAAACAGTCCACTCTGACTTGCAGAATCAGAGAATGTTTTATTGACTATGTGATAGACACTGGCATCAGAAGACCCAAGAAAACCTCTCAGGTCCAGCACACAGGATGGAGCTTTACTCAAATGTTACACAGTATACAGGACAGCCCCACCCCGACCCTCGCCAACTGCCACATCCTAAACAACTCATATCCAGTTCAAACCCCTCTCATCACAATAGAACCCAAATTCTGAGAGTAGTTGTGATACCCAAAAGGACACAGATGTCCCTTCTAGCAACCAGCCCACACTAGGCTGTGGAGGATGTCAGGAGAGCTGCAAGGATCCAGCCTGCGTATTACTCACTCTGTCCACGGACCAGTCTAGCCTGACCCTGATGATCTCACCTTTCTCCTGTGGGCCCGGGGCTGGCGGTGAGCAACACCAGTCAATCCCGGGGCAGCGCGCGGGCCCGGAGACCACCAAGGGCACAAAAGCCTTTCTGTTTCAGCACCAAAGACAATTCATGAATGCTAATCAATTACCGAGAACCCAAGAGTTGCATTTTGATCTCTAAGCGAGGCATCCACCACACACACTGTGCAAAGACTAAAACCAAATGCCAGCTGCCCCCGAGTAGCCCCAGCCCCCCCCCCCCCGGCAGTCTCAGTGATAACAAAGAACACAAGACGAAGTGTCCCTCTACCACAGGCCCCAGCTGTGGAAGTCCCATTGGTGGCCACCCCTACCCTTGCTGGAGTCAGGAGTTTTACAGGACTGGGGACCAACAAAGGCAGGACGTCAAAGAGGACTCTCCCAAAGATGAAGGCTCCCATCTTTTACCTCTGGGGAGTCTTACTGAATGGAGGAAGAGCCAGGTCTTGGAAGGCATCTAGCTCAGTCATGGAAGCTGGGGAATGATGGATTAAAGAGAACATTAGGAAAAAATTACATGCATGTATGTATATGTACACACACACACACACACACATTCACATATTTGCTGTGCATGCTTAAGAAAGCCTTTTCATGTTTTCAATTTTGAACCATTTAAAGAGACAGGCAGAGGAACATGGGTGAAGGGAATACAAAGAAGCAAGGTTGTGGTTAGTCCTGGAGACGGTGTGCCTGTGTCGATCTACCTGCCCGTCTGGCGCAGCCTCTGATTGCCTGTTAATCAGTCAGCTGGTGGAGCAGGTCAAGCATGGCTGACGGGAAAGCAGAGGTAAGGATACAAGGTGCTGCATAAGGAGAGCCCTTTCCTTTCTCCCTCCTGTCCCCAACTCTCCACCAGGCAGTATCTCTCATAGGCAGAGATGCCAAAATCCCTCAACAAAATATTAGTAAATAGAACCCAACATTGTATAAAAAGAATTTTATACCACGACCACGTGGGATTTATCCCAGGTATGCAAAGGTGGTTCAACATTTGAAAATTAAATGTCATCCTTCACATCAACAGGCTAAGGAAGAACAATCACATGATCACATCAATAATGCAAAAAAAAAAAAAAAAAAAAAAGCATTTGACAAAACCCAACACCTATTCATGATAAAAACTCTCAGCAAACTAGGACTAGAGGTAACCTCCTCAACTTGGTTAGGAACATCTACGAAAAGCCTATAGCTAACATCATATTTTTTTCATTTTTTGTTCCGATAGAGTGGGAGGGAGAGAGAGAGAGAGAAACATCAATGTGAAAGGGACACATCAAGTGGCTGCCACCCACACAACCCAACCAGGGCTGGGGACAAACTGCAACCGAGGTACATGCCCTAGCGGGAACAGAACCCGTGTTTCTCTGGACCACAGGCTGATGCTCTAACCGCTGAGCCAAACTGGCCAGGGCGCTAACATCATACTTAATGATGAGAAACAAGAAGCATTTCAGAAACAAGGCAGGGATACCTCCCCTCACCACTGCTTTTCGACATCATACTGGACATCCCAGATAATTCTATAATACCAGAAAAGGAGATAAAAGGTATGCAGATTGATAAGGGAAAAAATTGTCTTTTTTTGTTGATGATGTGATTATCCATATGAAAAACCCAAAAGAACCATCAGCATAATACTCTTGAAACTAACAAGTGATTATAGCAAAGTTGCAGGATATAAGATCAATACATAAGCTTTTTATCACTTTCCTATATACCAACAATAAACAAGTGGGATTTGAAATTAAAACCAATACCATTTACATTAGCACCCAAAAATGAAATGGTGGTATAGAGGTAACAAACTATGTACAAGATCTGTTTGAGGAAAACTACACAACTCTGATGAAAAGAAAAACAACTAAATAAATAAATAGATATTCTATGTTCATGGATAGGAAGACTCAATATTGTCAAGATATCAATTCTTCTCAACTTGATTTTGTAATTAAACACAATCCCAATAAAAATCCCAGCAAGTTACTTTGTGAATGTTGACAAACTGATTCTAAAGTTTATGTGGAGAGGCAAAAGAGCCAGAATAGCCAGCACAATGTTGAAGAAGGACTGACAATGCTTGACATCAAGACTTACCATAAAGCTATAATACTCACGACAGTGTGGCATTAGTAAAAGAACAGACAAATAGATCAGTGGAACACAACAGAGACTAGAAACAGACTCACAGATTCAACTGATCTTTGACAAAAGAGCAAAGGCAGTACAATGGGGCAAAGGTAGTCTTCTCCGTAAGCGACAGTGAAACAACTGGGGACCCACAGGAGGGAAAAATGAACCTAGACACAGACCTTAGACTCTTCACAAAAAATTAACTCAAAATGGATCAAAGACCACAACGTAAACTGCAAAACTATACAACTCGTAGAAGATAACACCAGCAAAAATGTACATGACATTGGGTATGGTAATGACCTCTTAGATACAACATCGAGGGCATGATCTATGATAAAAATAACTGATAAGCTGGATTTCTTTAAAATTAAAACCTTTGGCTCTGCAAAAAACTGTTAAGAGAATGAAAGACATGCCACAGGCAGGAAAAAAATATTTGCAAAAGAGGTATCTGATAAAGACCCATTATCCAAAATATACAAAGAATTTCTAAAAGTGAACAATAAGCAAATGAACCACCTGCTTAAAAATGGGCTTAAAACCTTAAGACACCTCACAGAACATATTCGGGTAGCAAACAAGCATATGGAAAAAGGTTCAAGATCATATCATTTAAGGAATTGCTCATTAAAACCTGATACCACTGCACACCTATTAGGGCAGACAAAATCTAACACACTGACACCACCAAATGCTGGTGAGGATATGAAGCAACAGGAACTCTCACTCACCCCTGGGAAGCCAACATGGTGCAGCCACTTGGAAGACAGCTGGTAACTTCTCATAAAACTAGACATATTGTTACCATACAGTCCACACTTGGGTTCTCTGGTATTTACCCAAAGGAGTTGAAATTTTATGTCCACACAAGATAAATATTTATTTCAGTTTTATCCATAACTACAACCAGTAGGTGAATGGATTAATAAACTGTGATACATCCAGACATGGAACATTATTCAGTGCTAAAAAGAAATGGGCTACCAGGCCATAAAAGACACGGAGAAACCTTAAATGCATGTGACTAAGTGAAGGAAGCCATTCTGAAAAGGCTAAATACCGCACGATTCTAACTAAATGACATTCTGGAAAAGGCAAAAATATGGAGACAAAAAAAAAAAAAAGATCAGCAGTTGCCAGGGACTAGAGGAAAGAAATGAATAGGCAGAATACAGAGGATCTTAGGGCAGGGAAACTATTCTGTACAATACTGTAATGATGGATACATGTCATTATACATTTGTCTAAACTCACAGAATGCACAAGAGTGAACCTGAATGTAAACTATGGACTTTGAGACAAAGTAACTTATTAATGTAGGTTCATTGACTCTAATAAATGGACTCCTCTGGTAAGGGATGCTGACAGAGGGGAAGTTTGTGCATGTGTGGACTCACTGGGGTATATGGAAACTCTGTATACTTTGTTTCTTTTCTTTTCTTTTTTTTTTTTATCCTCACCCGAGGATATTTTTCCATTTTTTTTTGTACAGATAGAGTGGGAGGAAGAGAGAGGAAGGGAGAGTGAGAAACATCGACGTGAAGGGACACATCGAGTGGCTGCCACCCGCACGACCAACCAGGGCCGGGGACAAACTGCAACCAAAGTACGTGCCCTTAGCGGGAACCGAACCCGGGTCTCTCTGGACCGCAGGCAGACACTCTAACCGCTGAGCCAAACTCGCCAGGGCTGTTTCTTTTCTTTATTGCTTTTTTAGAGAGAGAGAGGGAGAGGAGGAGAGAGAAACATCGATGAGAGAGAACATTGATTGGCCACCTCCTGCATGTTCCCCACTGGGGATGAGGCCCACAACCTGCGCATGTGCCCTGACCGGGAATCAAACCAGAGACCTCTTAGTGCGTGGGTCGATGCTCAACCACTGAGCCAAACTGGCTGGGCTGAACTCTGTATACTTTGTTTAATTCTGCTATGAAACTAAAACTGCTCTAATAAATAAAAGGGTAGAGGAGCTGACCAAAAGAAGGCATCCAAGAACTGCTGCACTGAGCATCACTACTGTAAAGATGTAGAGCTAGGGAATCGGGCCTCTGGGCAGGATCTGATTATGTTAGAAAGAATGGGCAAGTGGAGGGGTGCTATTTTACTCTTACTGTGCCCCGCTGTCCCCACATACACCATGGTCACTTTTGAATAAGAGCATCTCCTCTCTGTCCCCACAATAGTCAGAGTCCACTTTTATGACCTGCTTATCTTAAAAGCAAACTCAATCAACCCTGATACTGCCAGCTCCAAGGCTCCAAGATGAGCTCTGGATCACCAAGACCCACAAGCAGTGCTATCGCTGGTCAAAGGCCACCTGCTGCTGGGAAGGAATTATGATCAGGGAGATTACTTACCAGGAGGTGGAAGAACACAGAAGCGCCTAGAATCTTCCATGAAAACCCACCATTAAAACATCAGAGCCACATGAAGACAAGTTCAGCCCTGCTCTGAACTTCCCAAGAGGAACTCCCGAGAGCTTGCATCAAGCATCTTTCCTCTGCCCAAATCCACGAGCAGTCAGTCAGAAAAGGTCGCTATAGGGAGTTCTCTATCCCACACGTCAAATTTCCTGGGGCAGATCCTCTCCCTCTACCCTATGGGATTTCAATTTCCCCATTTGTCCAAAGATTTTAAGCTGTTTTAATTTGTAGATCAATACACTTTTTTTTGTCCCCGCAGTTTTGTGCACTTTGGCTTTTCTGCATTTACATGAAGAATTAGTTAGCAGTGACCCCCTGGCCCACTCCCCCTACTCCCCACTTAACACCATTAAAGTAAAGGTTCCTTACACCGCCAGAGACAATTTACTCTTTATTGATTAAAAATGAAGGAAACATGCAGCAAAATACAAAGTCAAAAAAAGGGTGGAGGGAGAGTCAAATATTTTACATCTTCCATGATCTAGCACACGTCATAAGGAGGAAGCTCCGTTTATTGATACACCATTATTCTATCCTCCAGATTATTAAATAGTATCAGCTGGCTCTAAGATTTGGTTCAAAACTTAAGCAAAAAACCCAAACAAATCCAATAGTCATTTAGAAAGACCATACATTTCACAAACAGCATTGGCACATGTTACCTTGTGCTAAAGTCAGTCCCTACCCCAGGGACCAGGGAATCCTGGGGACTCCGCGCCGGAGGTGTACCCTGACCCACCCACCACTCCTGGAAAGGAGTAAGGTCTCTCACTAGGTTATGTGCTTCCCACTGGGAAGTTTCTGTTCACTTATTTGCTCAGCATCACTCCCCAAGTCAGCAAAGGGAGTCCACCATACATCATGCAGAAGAAACACACTGTCATGGGGCTTGATGACGGACTCCTAATTCCCAGCAGGGCAAAAAATGAACCGAAATGAAAGAGAAAGCCCCAGCTCACTTCTATGGTCGTGCCTGTCCCACCACAGTCCAAAGGCAATGGCTGCTGGAGAAACTCAACAGGAGGATGGGCCGCTGCTTACCCCCAGCCTGGGCTTCAGATCGCCTCCAAACCCAAAGCTAGAACAGCGATGCCACACCCCTTGGATTCATACGTAAGTAGAGTGCGACGGGCTTACTGGACACCAAAACAGACTCTAGGGTGAGCCACTAGTCCTGTGCCAAAGAGGACACTATCTCTTTTCCAAACTTACTCCTACCTCCCTGTCCTTATTCCCTCTACCTGCCTCCAAAAAAATTTAATAATAATAATAAAATAAATAAAAAGAAAAAGCTAAATATTTTTTCCAGCAAGTTGATCAACCTTCTTTCCTCTCTCCAGGCTCGGCAGGCTCCCTCCTGTTAACTCTCCTGCTGGGACCATGGACTCTGGTGTCTGATCCTCTAGTCTACTTTCTTCCCAACCCCATCTCAAACTCTCCCTCTCCCATTCCTCAACATCCACCCCTTTCCCAACATGCCTTTTCCTCCAGGTAGGTGAAGAAAGCCCGTGACTAAACTATAAGCTCAGGACGAATGAAACAAGAACTGTGACAAGCCAGTTGTGGGAAAGCTCTGAGAGATGCTCAGCAGAAAACCAGGTAGAGCAACCTCACTATTCCCAGACCAACAATGCTGGACAGGGCTGGAGCCATTCACTCAGAGGCAACTCTCCCCTTTTCATGGGGCCAAAGCCTCTGTGTGTGTCGTTTAAGGCCAGACTGAGGATCTCTTTCACATACAAACACGTTAGGGCTATTTGCAATTAGACAAAGGCTGACTCTGAAACGTTAGGGGAAAAAAAAAATCAACCCCACTGATTATTCACATATTGCATTATGAGTGCTCTTTTTCAAAACCTAAAAAATAATTTACATTATTTCTGTAGAAAATCAAATGAAATCCTAAGTCACGGCACATGTGGTTTTACTTTCTGTCTTGGGTCAGGTTCAGCACACGCAGTGTGAGCCCCTCGGAAGGGTCAGTGCAGGCGACGGGGCAGAAGGCAGACCTCTCCAGCCCAGTGTCTCCGTTATTGCTGTAGGAATCTCAGCTTTGCATTTCCTTAAGACTTGGAGACCAGGCAAACGGATTTTCATGAGAAGACTAGAGGAGCAGTTTTTCTTCGATTTAATAATTTTTTTAGATTCTGAAAATAAATAACTTCCACAATGATATGAGTTATGATTTTTTTTTCTGTCCAAAAACCACTGCTGGGAAAATTCACTTTAACAAGCCAATATTTGATGTTTTCTCTAAAAACAGTTCAAAGTTCCACGCTGAAGGATCCGATGGCTGAAGTCCGACGATAGTCAGATGTTTTGCACCAGCTGAGTTAAGGCTAGCATCCCTTTCTGGAGGGAATAATGAAGAGGGGTGCCTGAGAGCAGCTTCAGCAAAACGCTTAGAAACATCATGAACAAAACTAGAGGACAGTTTAGGCTGCCTCCATCTGAGGCTGTGCTTTTTCCTAACAAAGGTTGCTAGAATTCACATCAGATTAAAAAAAGAAAAAAAATCTCTAAATTAAATTCTCTGGGCTCCAGCTGAACAATCAACTTTTAACTGCTACTTCAGGGGGGTAAAGAGACATCCCAAGATGCCCACATCCTGTCAGGTGTGGGAAATCCGGCAGCATGAGGAAGACCAATCGAGCTGCTACTTTTCACCCAGCACCGTCAGTGGAGTAAGACAAGATGAGCTGGAAGATCTCTTCCTGGGCCTTGAGGCACATGGGCCACTTCTCAGATGGAGGAAGAAAGGGGACACATGTAGTAAGTTTACTAACGGAACTCTTCAAAGGGATGCTGGCCACTGGTGATCCAACTTTTCTTTCCCTGTGGGAAAAGGGGGGAACGATGGCAGGATGAACATAAAGAAAGACCTCTAAAACTCCTAGCTGGGAGGTTTGTTGCTGGGTTCTTTGGCAGTAGTGGGTCTAGGCCAACAGAAGCAGCAGAGATACGCATGTGTGGCATCTTCTGAGGCCTCCTCGTCCAGGGCTGTGATTTAGCTGATGCTGAGCTGGGCAAATCCTATTAGTTTACCATCATCAGGAATATCCGAGCCTTCGACACCAGATGCCTAAGAATCAAACAAAATGAGAAGCTGTGAGTATTTAGAAACAATGAAAACTGACAAGGGGACTGTGGGAATGCAGGCAGTGGGGGACAGGTCCCTGGGATACAGACAGGAGGCAGATGAAGGTGTCTCTTCCAGAAAGGATGGGAGCTGGGCATACAGCTGGCTCACAATCTCTTCTGAGCATAGTCAAGGGCCTGAGGTAGGAGGCTTCCTGGGAGGGGCAGAGGAAGGGAGGCCACTGAAAGGGAGACTTCAGTTCAGAGCCTTGGGGGTGCTAAATGAACATAATCCATGATATTTTAAAATTCTCATCACCTAACCCTGGCTGGTGTCGTTCAGTTGCTTGAGTCCTGTGCATTGAAAGGTCGCCGGATCGATTCCTGGTGAGGACACACGCCCAGATTTCGGGCTCGATCCCCCGTTGGAGTGTGTGCAGAAGGCAGCTGATCGATGTTTCTCACTCTCTTTTTTAAATCCTCACCCAAGGATACTTTTCCATTTGTTAATTTATTTAATTTTTTTTCCTTTATTGATATTAGAGAGAGAGAAAGGGAGAGGGAGATAGAAATTCAATGAGAGAGAACATGGATTAGCTGCCTCCTGCATGCCCCCCACGGGGGATCAGGCCCATAACCTGGGCATGTGCCCTGACCAGGAGTCAAACGGTGGCCTCTTGCTGCATGATCAACTACTGAGCCACACCAGCTGGGCCAATTTTTTTTCTTTTTTAGATAGAGTGGGAGGGAGGGAGGGAGGGAGGGGGACACATTGATTGGTTGCCTCCCATACGACCCCGACAGGGGCCAGAGATCAAACCTGCAACAAGGTACGTGCTGTGCCCTTAACTGGGAATTGAACTTGTGACTCTTGGTCGGTGGGCTGATGCTCTAACCACTGCATAGCCAGGGCCAATGTTTCCCTCACATCAATGTTTTTCTCTCTCTCGCACCCTCCTTTCCTCTCTCTCTCAAGTCAATAAAAACATATTTAAAATAAACAAAATCAAAAATAAAATTCTCATTATCCAGAGAATATGGAAGGTGGTCCGTAGGAGCAGCTGATGTGTAAAAAGTAAGATGGCTTAATAAGGAGGAAGAGACAAATACCAGTTTGAAAGTGACAGATCGATTTGACTGAGGTTCTTCCACAATTTTCTGCAAATTAGCTGCCACTGTAATCATACAAACAGAGAAAGTAATGAGAAGCTTGGTCAATATAGTTTCAACCATATTTTAAGAATTTAAATGATAGTTTAGAATCTTCTATATACAATTAAAATGGAAGCAGAAAGTTAAATTACTCCCCAAAGGAAAGTATCTTTTAAACTCGACTCCAAGTAGCAGAAATAAATCTCCAATCATTGTCAAATGAACTTTCTTTAAGATGCTGCATCAACTTAGGAATGACATTCAGGCTAAAGAGGTATGACCTGTCTATTCATAGACCAGAGAGACAGCAAACTATGGCTTACAGCCTGTTTCAGTTCTGTCTGTGAGCTAAGAATGGTTTAAAAACAACAGAGACGGTACACAACCCACAAAGCCTAAACTATTACTACCTGGCCCTTTATAGAAAACCATTCCTGATTTGCCCTAGAAAATAGAATTTTCCTTCAGTAATATGTACCTATGGCCTTTTCTGACTCCCTGTTTTTTCTAGGACTAAATCTCTAAAGATTTCTGCTTACCTCTTAGCTCCACAAGGTTAGACTTCATCCTCCAAAATGGATGAGACATGGCTAAGCTTACCATAACCTGTGATTTTTGTCATCACTTCTACCAGAGTCTCCCAGAGACCTGGGTGGGCTTTCACTTACTATCACTGGAGGTCATAAAACAAACTCAGAAGTGAAGTTTTCTTTTTTGTAAGGAACTGTCCCCAATACCCGTTATTTCAGTCAAGCCAAGAACCATTCCAAGAACCACTGACATGCTCAGTGGAATCCAAGCCTGGTTTTCTTGGTCCTATGTACAGAGAGAGGGAAATGGGCACGAGGGCAGGTGGAATGGAGTTACCTATGACTAAATCCCTTCCATCGACCAGGCCAGCAGAAATGAGTTCCTGAGAGACACCCTCCGCCGTATCTGCAAGGACAAAAAAGAAGGTGCTCCGTTTCTTGTGCATACATGTCACTGCTAACTCTCAGAGCACGTGTGGGCACTGCCAGATTTTAGCTGCCAAATCTACAGAACCAAGAAGGGAGGTGGGGTCTTTCCCCCACACAAAGGGTTTTCCAACCACTGGGATATCTCAAGTGAGGAATACTCACAGGTCTAGTAAAGGGAAAAATGAATACAGCCAGATGGCAAATACGAGCTCAATGTAAAGATAAGTTTCTAAATAATGGTGCCATTTAGATGGATTTCAAGTCCTTGTCAGGAGAGCACCTGACAGTGATGCTGCAGAGGAAACTCCTATGCCGAGGGCAACCCTGGACATGATCCTAATGAGCTCCGAGACATGATGACGAGCACGCAACATCTCCAAGGCTAATAAAACAGTGATTTTTTTCCCCTCAAGATATTGAAAAAAAATAAAACGTAATCTCTTATTTTGGGGGATCACACTCCAAGTTTTTTGCTAAAATCATTTTTTTAAATCCTCACCCAAGGACATTTTTGCATTTATCTTCAGATAGAACAGGAGGGAGAGAGGGGGGAAGGGAGAGAGAGAAACATCGATGTGAGAGAGACACATCAACTAGTTGCCACCCACACGACCCCAACCGGGGCTGGGAACAAACTGCAACCAGGGTACATGCCCGTAGCGGGAACTGAACCCAGGCATCTCCAGTCAGCAGGCCGATACTCTAACCGCTGAACCAAACTGGCCAGGGCTAAAATAATTTTCTTTTTTATTATGACGGGCTTTTCTTCTTGGCTAATTATTTTGGTAGGTATAACCTGAACAAAGGGTGTAATGAGAAATTGCAAAATGAACACAGAGTATCCCCAACTAACCTCACCTCTGACTGACTCAGTGTGCTCTCCCCCAAGGGCTGAGCACTGAGCCCCTCAGAGGGGAAAGGAGGACCTTGGGAGGCGGTGCACACACTTGTGCAGACAACCAGCAATTTGAATTAGTTCTTGAATAAGTGACTCTGTCAGGTTTTAAAACAGTAGAGTGAATACCCCTCTGTACATCTAACTGCATCTATTCTCCTCAGTGGTTAGGTGCCGATCATATGAAGACAGGGAGAAGACAGGCACGAAAGACTATTTGACGCTGGCCACTCCCCAAATCTTAACCCTGAGTAACAAAGGCAGTAAGTTTTGCTCCAAGGAGAAGTTTATGGCCAGAAACTATGCATCACAAGCTCAACTTCCACCTCTGGAGCGAGGAGGCTGGAAGCCCTGTTTCTTTTTTATTGTCAGGAGGACAACTATGTCCAGTGATAAGAGCAAGAACTTTGCACTCTGACAGATCTGGATTTGAATTCCAGCTGCACCTCCTCCCAGCTGTGTGAACTGCAACACACCTCCCAGCACCTCCTCCCAGCTGTGTGAACTGCAACACACCTCCCAGCACCTCCTCCCAGCTGTGTGAGCTCCATTTCTCTCTTGATTTCATCATCCACACAATGGAGATAATCTTTATTTAGGGGGCTATTTTGAGAAGTTAATGAGATAATGTACATTATCAGAGCACAAGCCTAGCCAATAGTAAGCAGTAAATTAGAACTATGTTAATTACTGTTTGTATTATACAGCTGACCCTTGAACAACACAGGGAGTAGGTCAGGGGCTCTGACCACAAGTGCAGTTGAAAATTTGTGTATTACTCTGGACTCCCTGCCAGAACTTAACTAACAGCCTACTAATAAAACTACCAATAGCCTGCTATGACGGGAAGCCTTACCAATAACATAAACAGTCAAGTAATACATATTTTGTATGTTACATGTATTATATGCCATAGTATAACAATAGAGAAAAGAAAATGTTAACAAAATCCTAAGGAAGACAAAATACATTTGCAGTATTTATTGAAAAAAATCTGTGTATAAACGACCCATGAAGTTCAAATCCATGCTGTTCAGGGTAACCTATACGAGGTTTTCTAAATGAGGTTAGTAGTAAATAAACTGCATTTTTATTTATTCATATGCTCCCCCCCAACCCCTTCAAATCAAGAACATTTTAATCATCCTTTAACATAGCAAAATATACCTCAAGGATAACCCTTCACAACACACTTCACTAAACAAAGCAGCAGCTATTGTGTTTCCAATATTTTTTATAACTTACCTCTCCCAGGAGTAAATTCGAATCGAATATCATTTAGTTCCTTTTTGGAATTCCTATAAAAAACCATAATGTATAAAATCAATTTCTGAATTTATGCACAGACTCTGCCAACATATATCAGGAAAGCTGTGCCGCAGGCTGGTTGTGCTCAGTGGTTAGAACATTGACCCGCAGACCAGAGCTGCAAGTTTGATTCCGGTCAAAGGCACTTACCTCGGTTGCAGTTCTACCCCCAACCCTGGTCGGAGTCATGTGGGAGGCAACCAATGGATGTGTCTCTCTCACGTTGATGTTTCTCTCTCTCCGTCCCTTCCACTCTATCGGAAAATCAATGGAAAAATATCCTCAGGTGAGGAATAAAAAAAAAAGATTGTTTTGTTCCCATAGATCATATGATGGTCCTAGTGGGATGAGAAAAAACTTTATAAGTAGTTTTTAGATAGGACTTAACAGATGGGTAAGATTTGCACAGTCTAGGAAGACAGGAAAGGAGTTGGGCCCATATAGGCAGCAGAGTTAACATATGACTCCACAGATCCAAACATGTGACTGGTGAGGAAAAGTATACTAACCAGGCTCCCTGGAAGTTCTGGTTAAGGTGGAGAAATTAGAACATCAGGTCTAATGTCTAATCACTTAGGACCCAAATCCATTTTATCTAAACAATGTAGAGGACTTAGGTCTATTTGACAAACACTTGAGGATGTTACTGAAATTGTGCTTAAAATACAGAAACCCATCTCCAACACAACCCGTCCCCAAGTGATTTCGTCCTTGGCACTGCCTTCTCTGTGCATCTGTATCCACGACTTACACTTCTGCATGTACACTACCTGAAATTTGTTTCAAGCTACGTTAGTTCATAATTCAAATCAACTTCCAACCTAGACTTGATTATCGAGTGAGGCATTTCATTTTCTCTCTTCTCAGTATCCTTCCCCAATAGCTGAGAGTGCTATACATAGTCTGCTGACTACATATTCTTTCTGAGAGCTGATTAAAAATCAGATCAAACGTTTAGCATCACTAGTGATTTAACTGATATGCGAAGCACAAACACCTTTAAAGACAATATGCTAACGGGTCTAAATCTCTTCTAGTTGTTTAACTTCAAAATCTTTATCAGTGAGAACAAGAATCTAGCCTCCATAAACAGAAATGCAACCTAGTCCATTAAGAAACCACCTTCTGAAAAAGCTAACTACCATCACTTACAAGTATCTTCTCCACCTTCCTGAAGCACTTGTCAAATTGAATTTTTATATTATCTATTGACTGCTATAAGATAGCATACAAATTTTCAAAAAGAGAAAAATGGTATTCTCTATGTACAATTAAAATAGGATGAGATTACTAAGACACTCTATCAATTCACAACTATGTGAGATGAGACAAGGTGTACCAAGTAGGCTTCTGTAAAGGAAAGGTAAGCAAATCTGCGTTCTTCACATTTATGGCACAATTTCATAGCTCCTAGTGGTAAAATCAAAATATTCTCCAAACAGCTCTTGCTACCTCTCTAATTATGGTCATACCAAGAAGATGACTAGGAGTTCATATGTGGAAGGAGGAATGAGTCAATATAATTTAGTGGAACTCTTTTTAAAATGTTAGTAAAAGTTTAAGAATACCTGAGACATCTCAGGTGATGCTTCTAAAATTAATTTTTTTGGCTCTGGCCACAGAATTCAGTTGGTTAGAGCGTTGTCCCGATATATCAAGGTTACTCGTTTGATCTCTAGTCAGGACACTACAAAAATCATAAATGCATAAATAAGTGGAACAACAAATCAATGTTTCTCTCCCTCTCCCTTCCCCCCTCTCTCAAATCAATCAATAAAATTAAATAAAAATAAAAATTTTAAGTGTGTTTATGAGTAGAAAGAGACCTTATAGCAATACAACATCCACAGCTATTCTGATAAGAATGCTCTACAATCCTAATCCAACTACCTGCAAAGGAAGAGAGGGTTAAAATGAACAGACCACCATTTATGGCGCTTCCTACGAGCAGTGTGTCACAGACCCACCAAGAGGCATCGATTGAGGGTACTTACTATAAAATGGAGACACACAGATCACAAATATGCTTAGAGGTTTTCCCTTCCATTTTTAAGAACAGGGCCTTCATTTGCTCTATCACAATCTTGGGTTAGTTGATCTCACAGTCCATGATATTTATATGGTCACAATTATAAGACTAATTTTCAGATAAGCCAACTTAGTGCTACTCCCCTAAAAACTATTCCTCAGTTAAAGACCTTATTTCCCAACTTAAAGTACCTATATTGCAAATGCACAATTTGTCACTATTAGTGGACAAACAACTAAGAGAATGCACCAGTTGACCTGTTAACATCCAGGTCCTGACACTGTTGCTATTATTTCTGAGCAAAATAATACACCTGCAAGCAAACAGCACCTGATGCCGGGAGGACACACAATCCTATCCAGTTCTCAGACACAGACTATTGGGAACAAGGAGTAACTTGCGAAGAGAAAACAGCGTATTCACAGTATTCAGAAAGCAAAACAAAATAAAAACGTCTACTTACCTTAATCTTAGTACTAGACTAATGGGGATCTTGGTTTCTTGTGAACCTGCTCCTGAAGACGGAGCCTAAAAAGCATGGAAGGGTAGAAAGTCACTGCCTGGACTACTAGGGGTGGAGGTGACTACTGGTCACTGCAGAGCACTCGTCCACTTGACAGCAACTTCCCTCATCTCCAGGTGAGGCCATCCCAGCCCCTAGGACGTTCCCTGCTGTGGGAAGACATGCACTCCAAGGCAGCAGCAAGAACCGAATGTCAGCCGGAGTCAAACACAATTACAACGATAATTCTCAAACCCACATGAAAGTCCATATGTGGCCACATACAAACTTTGTTATTTTTTTCAGATCCATGTTTCTTTCTGCAAGGGTGGAAAACACAAAGCTGGGTTCTTCCCTTTAAAAAAGCAGTGTATATCATATGGCAACACCCAGGTAGAGTCTAAACTGGTTGCCCCTCAGAAAGTCACCCAGCATGGAGGTTTTAGGTCTTTTAACCTGTTAACCAGGGAATTCACTTTTCACTGTATGCAACATTTGACGTATTTATACGTCCCGCTCGATTAACAGGTTAATGGCTAAACTCATCCTTTCTGAAACCTGATAGCCCCCTCTTACTTACTGGATGATATGCATTCTATTTAAGTTGTTTATAAAATAACCAATATTTGCATCAGGTTTCATAAGACAATTGTATCTTTTCCCATCTGATGGGCAGAAATGGAAAGCTTGGGTGATGAAAAGGTTACAGGAAGTTAGCACCATGAACTGGAAGCCCCCAGTGGTCTCCAAAGATAGACCACCACTGGGGTGTCAAAGAAAAAAAAAATCAGGACTTCCATTTTTATTTCTTTCCATCTAAAATGTTAGGGAAAAAAAAAAAAAGAAAGCTCCACTATTTAATAAGCGAACAGACTCTGAAACCCCTACTCTGACCATGAAGTACAAGGTCCCATGTTCCATACAGCACTTGAGGAAGGGGCGGGAGCACACAGCCTGGGGCCCTCATTCCCTCGGCTGCTTTCAGAAATTGTGTGCACCTGATTATGTGGAATTACAGATTATATTACCTCATTTTAATAAAATCAAGCCTCATAAAATTGACAATATCTTAAAAAGAGTAATACAGGAAAATCATGAATTGGAGACAGTACTAACAAAAACACAAACATAGGTGAACAAAAAGAGAACTGGTGACAATTTTCCTTGTGTCACGATAACTCTGTCAGCTGCATTTTGAAGTTAAATATAATAAGGATCTAATAAAAAGCTGACAAGAAATTAACTCCCAAATTTTTGATGTTTGGAATGTTTCCATTGTTAACTTACTTTTTTGCTTAAAAACCTGTATCCTTGTAAAACTCTCTTATCTGTATACGTTTAAAACTGTGAAAAAAGAATTCTAACTTGTTTTCAAATCTACCAAGATATTGATGGACCTCATTACATTAGGTGGTGTTCCACATTACTCTCTGCTTTCTACATCTTCCCAGAAGGCTTTACCTGACATGCCCTTGCTTTACCTGAGCTGTTTTTGATGGCTCCGTGGGGACGGGGAGAGAGACTTGGGTTGGCTGTGCAGATGTCTGCCCAGCTGGCTGAGGTAGATGAGGAGAAATCTGTTCTGGAACTTGAAGTAAAGTACCCACGGGATCAGTTGTTGGAAATAGCTGTAACAGAAGCACATATAATGCTTTTAAACTTTGTTATTGTTGTTAATTCTCACCTGAGGATATTTGATATTTGTTTCTACTGATATTTATTTTAATTTTATTTATTTATTTTTTGATAAAGTGGAAGGGAGGGAAGGGGAGACACATCTTCTCACATTGATGGGTTGCCTTCTGCACAACCCTGACTGGGGCTGGGGGTCAAACCTGCAAGCCAGGTACATGCCCTTGACTGGTAATTGAACCCGAGACCCTTTGGTCCGAAGACCGACACTAATCATGGAGCAAAATCACCCAGGGCTTTCACTGATTTTTAGAGAGAGAAGAAGAGAGGGAGAGGGGGAAGGAAGGGAAGGAGGAAGAGAGGGGAGAGAGAGAGAGAGAGGAAACATCGATGTGAGAGAGACACATTAATTAGTTGCTTCCTGCATATGCCCCGATCAGGACCAAGGCTGGGGATTGAATCTGCAACCCAGGTACAAGCCCTTGACCAGGAATCGAACCCAAGACCCTTCAGTGCATCAGCAGTTATTCTAACCACTGACCCACACTGGCCAGGATTGTACCATGTTTATTTTTAATTACATCTATTCTGTGCCCTTTGCCCAGCAAAACAGCACATCCAAAATACAGATTTAAGTATGCAATACAAAATTACAGAGAGGTCTAATATCTCATGACATATAAGCAAAATCAAGGAGACAAGAAAGTAACTTTTGTGTTCATTTAGCTTCATATGAGGAAATCAAAAGTTACTTTTGGGGGGGAGCTAACCCTCATCCAAGGATATTTTCCCATTGATTTTTAGATAGAGTGGAAAGGAAGGAGAGAGAAAGAGATAGAAAAACTGGTTCCCTCCTGCACAACCCTGACCTGGGCCGGGGATAAAACCTGCAACCATACCCTTGACCGCAATCAAATCTGCAACCCCTTGGTTCTGCAGGCTGATTCTCTAACAGCTGAGAAAAATCAGCCAGGGCTAGTTATTTTTAAACATTTTCAAAAAAATATTTTTCTTTATTGATTTTAAAGAGAGAAGAATGGAGAGCGAGAGAGAGAGAAACATCAATGAGCGAGAACATTGATTGGCAGCCTCCTGCATGGCCCCCACTGGGGATCAGGCCCACAACCTGGGCATATGTCCTGACCAGAAATCAAACCGGCGACCTCTTGGTGCATGGGTCAACGCTCAACCACTGAGCCACACCAGCCAGGCAAAAAGTTACTTTTAAAATGAGTGCAATGGCACCAATTTATTGCAAAGGTCCATTCAAACTCAGAATCAATATCTGATAAAATTCAACATAAGTTGAATTTGGGCACATATAAAAGACGTGCTTAATATTAAAACCAAACCTAAATAAAAGCTCATAGACTTTAATGATTCTGTAATCACAACTACTTACCTCAGAATTTGATAGTTCTTTCACTCGGGGAGACTAAAAAAAATACAAAAAAAGAAGGGCTGTTAACTCAAACCTCAGGTTACTCGCAGTCAGTTTCAAACTACACAGAATGTTGAAATGCAAGTCAACTCCATTTTATTCTGATCCACACATTAACTCATCAGCAACTCGAGTGAAAGTTTTCGGAAAAAGAAAACCGTTGTGACTACTGTATTCTTTGTCCAGGTGACATGTACTTACGGTATTTGAAGAGATCACAACTTGAGGTTTATAAACAAACATAATGAGACTGAGTTCTCAAACAGTAGGACGGTCACATTTTTCAAAGTACGACTCTTTTTACTAATTATGACCATACTATGTACATAGTATACCAAACCAAATGTCAATCTTCAAGCTAATTATTTAATACATTATCAACACAGTAATTCTGATTGTGGCCTTTAATGGAGAAAACTCTTGAGCCAAAATTGAAAAACCAATTATAATCTGCCATATGAAAATCTAAGCTATATTTATTTAATAAATCAAAACAGAAGTAATTCTGGAGACTACTAGAGAATTAGAAAAAAAACCTTTTATCTCTAAATAAATATCAATTTATATTAAATTCTACCAAGAATGGATTTAGACTATTTAAAAGGTCAGGTTGGATTTTTAAAAAAAATTTTATCACCATTTTATTAAGGAGAATCAAGGTTTAGGTAATAGCTAATGTATCACAGAAAATATATGGTCAACTCAGAAACTTTTTAAAAAAAATTTTATATTTCACTTTCTTTTTAAATATATACAAATATAGCATACGTTATATATTTAATATATTATACATATTTATAAATTAATATATATAAAATATGTAATATATATTGTTAATCATATTGTCCCCTTACCATTTGAGAATAAGTTACATATATCTTAGCTGTTTACCACTGAATAGTCACTGTATTTCTTAATAAGGATATTCTCTTACATAACCCTACTGAAGTTACCAACTTCAATAAATTTAACAATAATACCTTTTATCCTACATAATCCAATTTTTCCAACAGACCCCACAGAGTCCTTTACAGCTTCTGGTTTTTCTCCCAGTAGAGGACGCACTCTAGGATCATGCACCGCAGTTAGCTGTCACATGTCATTAGATATAAACATTTTTGAAGAACATCCCACCTCCATACACACTTTATTTGATTAGAGTGCTCCTCATCTGTGGTTTGTCTGATAATTCCTCTTGATTTAAACTTATTATATGAATTTCCAGCTGGAATTCTACACAGTGATGTGTCCTTCCTAGGGTATCGCATCTTGGGGAATGACACGGTCGTCTGCCCCTCATCAGTGATGTTAATTTTAATCATCTACTCAGGGCATTTTCTGATTTCTCCAGTATGCAGGAACCATTTTCTACCTTGCAACTAAAAGACACTCTATAGAGAGACACTTTATTTAATGAGAGAGAGAAACATTAATCAGCTACCTCCTTCCTACTGAGGATCGAACCTAAAACTCAGGCATGTGCCTTGACTGTGAATGGAACCTGGAGACCTCTCATTCCATGAGATGACGCTCAATACACTAAGCCACACTGACCGGGCTGGAGAGACACTTTAAAACCATGTAAGCCCAGCTGGTGTGGCTCAGTGGCTGAGCATCGACCCATGCACCAAAAGGTCGCTGGTTTGATTCCCGGTCAGGGCACATGCCCAGGTTGTGGGCCAATCCCCAGTGGGGGGCATGCAGGAGGCGGCCAGTCGATGTTCTCTCTCATCAATGTTTCCATCTCTCTCTCCCTCTCCTTTCCTTTCTCTCTAAAATCAATAAAGAAAAATTAAAAAATTTTAAAAAACCACATGTAAATAATCTTGCTCAGCAAAACGCTCTCCCCTATACTTAGCGTCTGTTGCTGATCCTTGCCATTACTAATCTTTCTAACTGTCGCATGAGGGCTGTGAGACGATCCCCTTCCCTCTCCAACTCTCCAACCTTCACCAGTCAGCACTGGCGCTCACTGCAATGAAAAGCCACCACTTTCCCCCATTTAGTGCATGGACGTGTGGAGTCCTCGTTTTCAAACTATATATAATTTATTACTGCACTTAATGATTTTGATGGTTAAATTCTAGCTAATTTGGCCACTGGGAGCTCCATCAACCACACCCTTGTATTAGTATGACTTTTTGTTTTAATAAAAAATATTCTTTCTGAAAAAAGAAGGTATTCCAGAGTCATCTGGTGTATTCTCTGTGTAAGCCCTACAACCAGTCCTTTCTCCAAGAGGCTTTCGTTCTTAAAAGCAGGCAAAGATATACCACTACCCTCTCTACTCATCCGACAAAAGGTTCTGAGCAGTCAAGACTATGACCTCAAACATTAATATTTCCTAAACACACTGGAGACTCCAATAACATGCATATTATGCTGCTTAATGTTTGTATTAGCTCACTGAGTCTCTTCATTTTTTTAAAAATTCTTTCTCAGTTTCAGTTTGCAGTTTCTATTGCTAGCCTTCACGTTCATTAATCTTTTCTTCTACAGCATAATCCACCACTAATCCCACCTAATCTATTTTCCATTTCAGACATTGTAATAGTCTATAAATCTGATTTTGTGTTTGTTTGTTTTCTATTCTTGGGATCGAGTCCTAACAATCAACTTTAGATTTAGCTTTAGGCAACAATGATGAAACAAATGAAAACAAGACCCCTATCTTCACTGCTTAGCAAAAACTAACATACACACACATCATCATCCAGGATATACCAATTAAAGAAGAAATACACTATTACTCTTCAGGTAGAATGTTAGCAGACCTCAGGAACAAAGTTTCTATTATTGTTAGTCTTTAAAGTTCACTGACATTTTCTTTGCAATGCATAATCAGCCACCTATCCTACCAGTGTATTTTCATCTCTAGATTTGGGTCACTTGTACATGCCTTAAATGTTATCATATTCAAACAGACCTGCCAGACCACTTTTCCATGTAAAATTAATTTGGCTCCTAATGTTGATAAGTTGTTCCAAGAAATTTTGTCACTAACAATTGCAATTTTTTGTACCTAAGCTGGGTAGGCTGACCAGAATCACAGAACATGGTATTACCTCGGAGACTCCAGACAAAATAGAGCTCTAGCTAAAGCATGTAGTTTAGTAAAACCTACCCTGAGTTGTGAAATTGCGGCTTTCCCTTCCTCGCTTTCTTCGTCAAACTCATCATCACTCCACTCCCAGCCACCGTCTTCTGTCTTATGAAGACGGCCACTGGAACCGGGTACTCTCCGAACCTGCTCATTGGAAGAAAGACATAAATCATGATAATGTTGATATTTACTATATAGAAAAGCCAATCATTTTCCTCTCCTCCTACTACTTCAACACAGTAAGCACATAATTTTCCCTGTAAGTATCCTCCACCCCTCGCTGGCTCTGCTCTGTTCTCAATCTCCACTCTTTTTTTACTGACACCCACACACTTTTTCTATATTCTATGCTCTGAACTTGAACATTATCCAAGTCCTTCTTATGTGAAGTCACAGGTCAAATAAATAGCCTGCTCTTTTTTGTTGTTGTTGTTAATCCTCACCCAAGGATATTTTTCCACTGATTTTTAGATACAGTGGAAGGGAGGGAGGGAAAGAGAGAGAAACATCAATGTGAGAGAGACACATCAATTGGTTGCCTCCTGCACAACCCAGACCAGGGCCAGGGATCAAACCTGCAACCCTTCAGTCTGTGGGCCAACACTCTAACTGCTGAGCCAAACCAGCCAGGGCTCTTTTTTCTTTTTAATATTAATTTTTTAAAATCCTCACCTGAGGATATTTTTTCCATTGATTTTTAGAGAGCAGAAGAAAGGCAGGGAGGGAGAGACAAAGAGAGAAAGAGGTGGGCAGGGGAGGAGAGAGACACATTTCTTGGCTGCCTCCCACATGAGCCCCCACCAGGGCTGGATAGAATACAATCCAGGTACGTGCCCTTGACCGGAATTGAAACCACGACCCTCCACTGTGAGGGCCAAACCACTGAACCACACAGGCCCAGGCCAATTTTAACTTTTAAAATCACAATTATAACTGTACAGTTTTAAGAGTACTATAGCTTTTTTTTTTATCTTCACCCAAAGACATTTCTCCATTTTTTGTTCAGACATAGTGGGAGGGAGAGAGAGGAACAGAGAGAGAGAGAGAGAAACATCGATGTGAAAGGGACACAACGAGTGGCTGCCTCCCACAGAACCCCAACCAGGGCCGGGGACAAATCGCAACTCAGGTACATGCCCTTGACCGGAATTGAACCCATGACTCGCTGGTCTATGGGCTGACGCTCTAACCACTGAGAAAAACTGGCCAGGGTGAGAGTACTATAGCTATTTAAGTTTTGTTAAGAAAACCAGCAATATCCTACCTTTTATCCTTTTTACCACAAGCAACCATTTTCAACTCATTTTAGCTTATTCTTTTGGAATTTATATTCATTTCTCTATGTAACATTATTATTATTATTATTTTTTTATCCTCGCCCGAGGACATTTTTCCATTTTTTGTTCAGATAGAGCGGGAGGGAGAGAGAGGAAAAGAGAGAGAGAGAGAGAAACATCGACGTGAAGGGACACATCGAGTGGCTGCCACCCGCACGACCAACCAGGGCCGGGGACAAACTGCAACCGAAGTACGTGCCCTTAGCGGGAACCGAACCTGGGTCTCTCTGTACCGCAGGCCGACGCTCCAACCGCTGAGCCAAACCGGCCAGGGTTCTATGTAACATTATTGTTACCCCTTTAGTTTTTTGGTTTTAGAAATTATCTATTGGACTTTCCACTACAGAAGATGAGAATTTAACACTATTATCAACCATCTACTCCTTTCTCAAGATACACTGTAATTTTGGTTAAATCATTTAGTGTTTACATGCATGATTATATAATAGATACAGCTGAGCCTTATTATACATTATAGTTATTTTTCTTTCCTGTATAACATTTTTGTTTTCCCTGGAGTTAGTATTTGTGTATTTATTTCTACGTACTTATCAAATGTATTGCCCAATTCTCTCCCAGCTATATAAATCTTCTCCCTACACATGCATATACGTTAGGTATTCTGCATCAGCACCATCTTCTTGGGGAAGACTCCCACCAGAGCCTCCTAACCTGTTTCACCTAGAGAGGTTTTACACCAGGTCTGGCACTTCTGATCTCACTCTACCATCATCCAGAAGACCATGCTTCCTGGATTATGCGACTTCCCTGTTCATAATTTAAGCACTTTCTTCACTATTAGCATGACTCACTTACTAAAGCCATGCATTTTTTAAACATACTTCATTCCATCTCCACATACCACTTATAGTTTGCCTGGTTAAAAAAAAAAGTCTTAGTTAGAAATCATTTTCTTTGATAATGTTGAACATAACTGCTCCATTGTGATCTGGCTTCCAGAGGTGCTACTAAGGTCATTCTAAGTCCTGATCCTGTCTGTGATCATTCCTCCTTCTCCTATAATCTTAGTGGGCCTCCGTGTTGGTCTATTTTCATTCATTGTGCTGAGTACTTGGGCTCTTTCAATTTGGAAATTCATGACCATTAGTTATAGAAATTTTTCTAGAATTGTTTATTTAGCAATTTCCTTTCTTCTGGTTGTGTGTGTGTGTGTGTGTGTGTGTGTGTGTGTGTTTAGTTCTCCTTTTCTGGAACTCTTTTTGTTCATCTGTTGAACCTTTTTAAGTGATCCTCTAATGTTCTTGTCTTTTCTTTCCTGGTATCTATTTCTTGGCCTTTTGGTTCTGTTTTCTGGGAAATGTCCTTAACTTGACTCTATACCCTTTATATTAAATTTTTTCATTTATTTTACAATGTTTTCAGTTTCCAAGAGCTTTTTGTTGGTGGTGTTGCCATTCTCTAAATGCTCTTTCTTCAGTAACAGTTTTATTGAGATATAATTCATATACCATATAATTAACCCATTTAAGGTATACAATTCAATCATTTTTGATTTATTCGGAGTTGTGAAACCATCTCCACAATCAAATTTAGATTTTCATCACTCCTCTCATAAACACACACACACACAAAACCCATAACCATTATCAGTCACAGCCCATTTCTCTACAATACTTCTAGTCCTAGAAACCACTAATCTACTTTGTCTCTATACATTTGCCTAGTCTGAGCATTTCACATAAATGAAATCATACAACAACATGTGGACTTTTGTAACTGACTTCTTTTAATTAGCATAATGTTTTAAAGGCTCATACTTGTTAAGGCATGTATCTGTACTTTATTCCATTTTACTGCCAAATAATATTCTATATAGATACACAACATTTTACACATCCCCTCATCAGTAGATGGACAGTCAGGTTGTTTACACTTTTTAATTATTACGAATAATGCCACCATGAACATTCGTGTACATATTTTTGTACGTACATGTTTTCAATTCTCATTCTACATATGCCTAGAAGTGGAACTGCTAGGTCATATGGCAGCTCTGTTTAGCCTTCTGAGAAACTGCCAGACTACGTTGTAAATGTGTGAGGGCTCCAATTTCTCCACATCTTTTTTTTTTAATCCTCACCCGAGGACATTTTTCCATTTTTTGTTCAGATAGAGTGGGAGGGAGAGAGAGGAAGAGAGAGAGAGAGAAACATCGACGTGAAGGGACACATCGAGTGGCTGCCACCCGCACGACCAACCAGGGCCGGGGACAAACTGCAACCAAAGTACGTGCCCTTAGCGGGAACCGAACCCGGGTCTCTCTGGACCGCAGGCCTGAGCCAAACCGGCCAGGGCTCCACATCTTTATCAACACTTGTTATTTTCTGTCTTTTTTATTAGTCATTCTAGTGGGTGTGAAGTGGTATCTTCAATATTTTTGTATAGTGTAAGGAAAGAGGCCACCTTCACAACTCACTCTGGTAGTAGAAACAATGACTTAACAGAGTTCAGAATTAATTAATCAACTGTCTAACATACTTCTTCCTTCCAGTAGATAACAAAGTAATACCTAGGCATTCAGTAGACCAATGATATTAGCTGAATGAATATATTAAAGAATGGGCTGAAAGAAACTGAATACACCCAGCCGGTGCAGCTCAGTGGTTGAGCATCAACCCATGCACCAAGAGCTTGCCAGTTCGACTTCCGGTCAGGGCACATGCCCAGGTTGTGGGCCCGATCCCCAGTGTGGGGCATGTAGAAGACAGCCAATCGATGTTCTCTCTCATCGATGTTTCTCTCTCTCTCTTTCCCTTTCCCTTCCTCTCTCTCTAAAAGCAATAAAAAAAAAAAATTTAAAAGAAACTGAGTAATACTCAGACTGTTAACAAAGTATTACTTTTTTTTTTTAATCCTCACCCGAGGACATTTTTCCATTTTTTGTTCAGGTAGAGTGGGAGGGAGAGAAAGGAACAGAGACAGAGAACACTGATGTGAAAGGGACACATCGAGTGGCTGCCACCCGCATGACCAACCAGGGCCAGGGACAAACTGCAACCGAGGTACGCGTCCTTAGCGGGAACCGAACCTGGGTCTCTTGGGACTGCAGGCCGATGCTCTAACTGTTGAGCCAAACCGGCAAGGGCAACAAAATATTACTTAACATATACTTTCAAAATGCAGTAGTAAATCTCCTCTAAGCAGTTTCCCAGGAAATCTGAGTTAAATACCCATTTACCTTTTTAGCTCTTTCAGAAATGGTTGGTGCTCTCTGCAATAATTTTTCTTGAAGAAATTCTTTATTCTGCAGAAGAAAAATAAGTATCTTCTTCTTATAATAAGTTTTTAATTGAACCAAAAAAACTGACAAATAAGTGTTTACCAAAATTAAAATGTGACAAAGCAACTGTTTTATAAAGAAGTTTGAGAAAAGCTTTAGTGGTGTACTGCTATAAACCATTATCAACGAAAGGTTTGCTTTGTACCATACGCCCTTGAGGATCATGGTCCCATATTTTCAACTACAGTAACATCCCACTTATCTGATATCTTTGAGAAATGAGATGTTTCCTAATTTAGTAGTAAATCCTGAAATGAGAGTTCAGTATTTTTTACAAATTATATTTCTAATGGCAAAATTAAACATTAATTGTTCCTGTTATAAGTTTAACTGGTTGACATTTAAATTAATTTATATGGAAAATAAATTCTTATTTTGAAGCATGTACCTTTTTTTTGGGTACATGCCCCTAGCGGGAACTGAACCCAGGACTCTCTGGTCCACAGGCTGACGCTCCAACCGCTGAGCCAAACTGGTCAGGGCTGAAGCATGTATCTTAATTACCAAAGACTGTATAGCTTGTGCCTTCAGCAATGATTTAATCTACTATCATTCTTCTAAACATAATCATCTTAACATAATACAACTTCTGAGCAGCAAATCTAATTTAAATAACTGAGGAAGATCACATGAACACAAAAAATAGAAAGTTAGAATTTCCTACCTTTGCTTTTTGGAAAAATTTGTGCCTCAACAGTTCTGCTGCTGTTGGTCTAAAACCAGAAAAGAAAGTTTTTATACTTAATTCAACTATAATGTGGATTTTTATCTTTAAAAATGAGGAAATGATTTCTTAAGCAGTAAGATAAAAACTCAGTACACTTCACTTTCCTTAACCTGCCCAAAAGAAAAAAGTCAGATAAACTTGGTATAAGACATTAAGTAGAATAAAAACTCACACAGCCCTGGCCGGTCTGGCTCAGCGGTTGGAGCGTCGGCCAGCGGTCCAGAGAGACCTGGGTTTGGTTCCTGCTAAGGGCACCTACCTCAGTTTCAGTTTGTCCCCAGCCCAGGTTGGGTCATGTGGGTGGCAACCACTCCATGTGTCCCTTTCACGTCGATGTTTCTCTCTCTCCCTCCCACTCTATCTGAACAAAATATTGAGGAAAAAAAAAAAAGTCCTCGGGTGAGGATAAAAAAAACTCACATAGACATGTACTGATAATCATTATTGTAGGTTCTTTGACAAACTTTTTAGATAAAAAAATTTTTTTGGAAGCATGATTTCATAGTGGCTTCCAAAACATCTGCTACTTAATATTATTTCACAAGAAGTAGGCGAAATAATGTTTACTTTAACGAGATAAAACAAAAACATCTAAACTCAAAAGTCCTCTGCTTCTTGCTATGTGGCTGCCTGATTGCCTTCAACTTAGGTAACAACATATTAAAAATAGATTTCACCATTTCCCTTAAAAAAAACTGAAGACTCTGAATGTAATGGATATTCCCCAAATTTAATAAAAAATCAGTTTTAACTCAACTGTGCACAGTCTTATTTCCTTCATTTGAGTTAAGACATCATGACAATTTTACAAATGTTTAACTGAGTACGATTGAGAATAAATAATAAACATTATACTTAAGAGATTGGTCCTGATTCCATACACCACACACCTACCATGTAATCCTGAGCAAATCACTTCTCTAAGGTTCAGGATAATCTGGCCATGTCCCTAAAAACAGTGGTTCTTAACTGCTGCTGTGCATTGTACCTGAGAGTTACCAAAAATGTCCTGAGGCCTAAGCTGCACCCCACACCAATTAGAGCAGAATTATGGGGGCAAACCCAGGGATTATTAGTTGTTAAAATTCTCCAGGTGATCCCCATGTGCACTCAAACTTGAGAACCAGGGCCTCAAAGAATTTCTATAAAGATTAACAGACAATAAATGTGAAAGTGCTATGCAAACTGACAATAGTCATTACCATTCCTATTTTTCATTCAGTCAGGTTTTCAGTACGTTCAATAGTTTGTTTGCACAACATTGCTTCTTATAATTCCTTTCTTCTAGGTTCATTTCCTTCTTTCTAAAGTACAATTTATAAGAGTTCTTTAAGTGCTAAAATGTGACTGGAAAACTTAATCTTTGTCTGAAAAATATCTTAATTCTATACTTTATTATTATTGTTGTTAATCCTCACCCGAGAATATTTTTTATCATTAATTTTTAGAGAGAGTAGGAGAGGGAGGGAGGGGGAAAGAGAAAGAGGCATTGATGTGAGATATAGCTATTGGTTGCCACTCACACACACCCTGACGGGGGAGAAGGATGGGGCTTGAATCTGCAACCCAGGTAAATGCCCTTGACCAGGACTTGAACCCAAGACCCTTTGGTGCCCAGGCAGATTCTCTAAGCACTTAGCCATACCAGCCTGGGTTCTATGATTAATTCTTGAATGACAGTTTGATCAGGTGGAGAATTCTGTATTAATAGTTATTCTCTCTCAGCATTATTACAGCATTATTATATTCTGGCCTCAACTGTTACTATTAGGGAAGTGGCTACAGGTCTACCTGTTAATCCTCAGTAGGTAATCTTTTCCCTCAGTGTGCATTTAAGAGCTTCTATTGAACTCTGTGTCTTGTAGTTTCATGACCATGTGTACAAGTGAGAAAAGGAGAATGCTGCTTAAAATCTGGGGGGATGGTCTTTAACCTAAGGATACAGGTATTTCTATTCTAGAAAATTCTCAGCTATTATTTCTTTGAATATTGCATTTCCCACAATCTTTCTAATCGCTCCTTAAAGTCCACATATACACATGTGTGTGTATACATATGTCTGTTACATACACACACTCTGGACCTTCTCATTCTATTTTCTGAATGTTCATCTTTCTTTCGTATGTACAAATAATCCCCTGCACATGCATATATGTGATTACTAGTTACATATTAGATGAAGAGAAAAGTTAGCTTTCTCTCATGTGTTTGTTACCTTTTTTCTGGATCCTTTTGAAGGCACAATGAAATCATTTTTCTAAATGATTTTCCATATTTTTTTAGCATTTCTTTATCTTGAACACCAGTTTCCAAAGAAGGAGGATCATTCTGCAGTGTCAGCATCAACACCTGTAAGAATTTTCAATATAATAAAAACTTCTGAAGACTCAGTGAATTAAATACCATAGCCAAGACCTTTTCATATGAACAACCCCCAACATACAAGCAGATACTATTTTCTAAAAGTTCACATTTAGACAGCTGTTCAGAACCCAGAGTTATCAACATCAACAGTATCCTGTAGAAAGTTGGCTTCCCAGATGATGTGCCTACCAGGGCTCAACTGCATCCACAATGTATCTCCTTTGATTAGAATCCTTCATGTCTTCTGTCCCTATAATGCCAAACTACCTTTAAAAAAAATTTTAACCATAGCAAAATTCACAGTGTGAACTTGCTGACTTTACCTATTCATGGCTCTGTTTCAACTTGATGCCTTGTAATCTGGCCCTCTCTTCCCAGAATTCCTCAGAAACTTCTGTCACAGAAATATCACTGGTGATGTCCTAGTTAACAAAGCTAGAGCATTTTTTAGTTCTCACACTTCCTACCTTCCCCATAACAACTAACAATTGTGACTATTCTGTCCATTTCTTCCTTCTTTGACTTTCATGGCAACATACTCAATGCACAGAGATGCAGGTGATGAAAGTCATTTTTATGTGATGGGACTTTGGGTGATTTGTGTTTTTCTATACTGTTTAACTTTGTTTTATAAAAGCAAAAGCCATTTTTTTCCTAGAAAGTCAACACTAAAAAGTAAAAGGCTACAATCAGAATTATTACTTGCTTTACAGATTTTTTGCTTTTCAGATTTACATTTACTGAAACAGAATTACTAAGGTTGGTGACAGTTCTCATTTTGAGCAAACCGGTTAATTTGTTGTAAGTCTGGCACTAACTGCAGGAGTCACTACCTATAATGGATGGAACATAAACCTCATCCTTCCCCACCAACTTCCTTTTCATTTTATTAATTTTTAAAAACTTAACTGAATTTATTGGAGTGACATTGGTTAATAAAATTATATAGGTTTCAGGTACAGAGTTCTATAATACATCATCTGCATATTGTACTGTGTGTTTACCACCCCAAGTTAATCTCCTGTTTAAAAATAAGGCATTTCTTTGCCCTAAAATTAGCCCCCAAACTAAGTTATATAAAAAAATAATTCTTCTTAAAATTTTGTGAATATCCACTTTCTCCTAGGAGTCTTCAACCTTTAGGCAAACCATGGCCTTCAAGTATCACTAACCTTTCAGAGAATCAAAATTGCACCCATCAAACATGTATTTATATATGTTTACTGGTCTTATCCCTCTCTGCATTGTTAGAGCCTTAAAAGGAACAGAATAACATCTTTTAAAGGTTCTTAAATGCACAAAGATTATATAGATGTGAATGATATCAACATGACAACAAACCACAATGGTAGTTTGCCATTTTATATAGTCATAGGATATCTTGTAAAGTGGGCAAGAATTATAAACAATAGCTACAACTACAAACAGAACAATTCATGTGCATATTATAACTAAGGGGTTACAGAGATAAAAATAGTTACCAACAGTACTGGCAGCACCATCTTGAACACAGAAACCTCATTCTGTTACTAATGTTGGGGACAGAATTAATGACTACATTTCAGGTAACTACTACATCAGGAAATAATAATAGGCCTTTTAATAAAAGCTGTTTAGTGTCCTACCACAAAGCAAACTTTTATTTAATAATAATGAGAATAATACATATGTGTGGCACATGAACACTTTGCATGGATTATCTCATTTAAGATAGGAAAAGCACTTAAAACAGTGCCTGGTAAAATAAGTGCCCAGTGAATGTTAGCTATGATTACTATTAATATGTAACCTTTCAAACAACCTTATGAAATAGAGAGATGATCATCATCCCCACTAAAGGTGACTGTAAGGGACACACACTAAGTTGAGAGACATCAGATCCTAATATCAAACTACTTAAGAGTCAGGAGATGGACAGTAATCACATAAAAAGCTCAACTACAATGTATAGTTACTCAATACTAAACAACAAATACCTAATACAGATTTTAACTGCTACAGGAGGTAGAAGGAATGCAGGGCAGAATTCCATGAGTAAGGATGTCAAATGAAGAAAGGCTCTGAAATGGAATTGACACACAAGCTGGGGTGGTATTTTGAATATGAGCCTCACCTTCATTGGTGGATACTTATGATAAGGAGCAGCCCCTGTGGCTAGTTCAATCGCTGTGATCCCGAAACTCCAGATATCTGCTTTGAAATCATAACCTCGGACCTGTAGAGAACAGAGATATACATGATTACTTTCACCACCCTAAAAACACTTTCGAAAAGCAGCTTCCAATATGTGTCATGAAACATGAAAGTACTCAGAAGCTTTAAACCAGTAAAATAATCTAAAGTAGGCAAAAGCTATATACACTTGGGAACAGCAAAAAAAATCAATTAAAAAAAAATTGGTTACCTGAATGAATGTTCACCAACAATGGGGAAGTTGTTAAGTATGGTATATTCCCCTTAAAGAAATATTAAATAGGTAACCAAAACCAAGGTTAATGAATTCCATATGAAAATATGAAAAACACCTGTGATAAAGCACTACAGAAGAAAAAAAAATACAAACCTGGTCATAAGTTTTGATACTATTATAAGTAGGTATATAGTCTATTAAAACATAGGAAAACACTAGAACAAAATGTTAGGCAGTGATGGTGAGTCTTTTGTTCCCAGTATTTCCTATGGACAGTCTTCGCCCTGAGTGGCCATGGTTTTCTGCTTCAACAGTGCTTGGATGTTGGCACTCCACCACCATCCCAGACAACCGCCCAGGTCCAGCCTTCCACCACCTCCTCACGGTGCCCTCCATTGTCCCAAGACTGGTGCTGCACAGCCGCCTCTCCTCTGCCACCCACCATGACAGCCATGTCCCCCACGCAGGCACACCAGAACTACCACCAGGACTCAGAGGCTCCATCCACCACCAGATCGACCTGGAGCTCTATACTTCCTACATCGACCTCACCATGTTTACTACTTTGACTGTGATGATGTAGCTTTGAAGAACTTTGCCAAATATTTTCTTCACTAATCTCATGGGGAGAGAGAACATGCTGAGAAACTGATGAACCTGTACAACCATCGAGGTGGCTGAATCTTCCTTCAGGATCAAGAAACCAGACTTGACGCCTGGGAGAAGAGGCTGGATGCCTTGGGGTGTGCATTACAGTTGGGAAAAGTGTGAACCGGTCACTGCTGGAATTGCACAAACTGGCCACTGACAAAAATGACCCTCATTTGTGTGTATTGAAACTCACCACCTGAACAAGCAGGTGAAATCCATCAAAGAAATTGGGTGATCACATAACCAACTTGTGCAGGTTGGAGGCCCCTGAAACTGACATGGCAGAGCACCTCTCTAACAAGCACACACTGGGAGACAATGATGAGAGCTAAGTTTTAGGCTGGCTTCCCATAGCCACGGGGGTGACTTCCCTGGTCATGAGTAGTACGTGCATGTGGGAGTTACCTTTTCCTTTTCTCCAACTTCTACCCAATTATACACTTACATTCTTGCATCTGTACCATTCCTTCAAATAAAGTAATTTGGTACACCCTCCCAAAAATTTTTTCTATGATATTGCTGTATCATCTTAATTTTTATAATAAAAAAAATTACAAAGAGTGTGAATATTTTTAAAGTTGTTGGTGTGAATATACTGCTGAATTCCTCTCTTCTTATACTGTCACCAGCACATTATATATAACTAAATTTAAAAGAATTTTTTTCATCCTAACCCGAGGACATGTTTATTGATTTTAAGAGGAAGAGAGAGAGAGTGAGACAGACAGAAACATCAAAGTGAAAGAGAAACATCGATTTTTTGCCTCGCATACATGCCCTGACTGAGGACTGAACCACTGACCTAGGTATACGCCTTGAGATTCGAACCCGCAACTTTTTTGGTGTATGGGATGACACTTTTTAAGAAAACGTGTTTTGTTTTGTTTCTTAGAGAGAGGAAAGAAGAGGGAGAAGGAGAGAGAGAAACATTTATGTGACAGAGAGATATTGATCAATTGCCTCCTACACACACCCTGACCAGGGATCACACCCACAATCGGGACACGTGCCCTGACCAGGAATCAAACTAGTGACCTTTCAGTGCACAGGACAACCCTCAGCCAGCTGCACCACACCATCCAGGGCGCTATAACTAAATATTTTAATTTTCTAACCTAAGTAATAAATATGGAACAGAAAAAGGTTTTGGAAACCTTATGAGTCCTAAAATTAAAGCTCCTTATTTTGTGCTATCTTGACATTTGGTAAATAAATAGGACGGCCTCTAATGACATAAGTGAAAATTCCCCTCCCCTTTCTGCTCCTGAGGCTAAGGTTCCCTAGCACAACAACTCTGCTTGTTACATGGACCAGGTACAATTCCTGCTTATCCCTAAGTAGCAGATTTCTGCTTCCTGCCAGCCTGGAATGATTCAAATGAGCCAATCACATCTTCACAAGGAATCCAAGGGGCATCTCACTCTCTTGATACTACAAAGCTTATGTCCCACAGTAACTGTTTGCTCAGTCTCTCCCTGAATACAACCCTATGTGGCATACAGTGTCGTCACCCCCCCCCCCCCCCAACGCCCTGCCACCTATGTGGATAGGCAACTAATAAACTGCTATCAATCTCATCGGTCCAGTGTCAGGTGTTGTGGTTAACCATCCACATAATCCTAGAATGGGAATACTTCCCTCACCAAAAGAAGGAATACGGGAATTACAACAGAGTGGGAAGAAAATTCAGTTCTACATACTGAGTATGATATACCAAAAAGACATTGCTGCAAAACATGTAGAGGGAGTTGGAAACATCTAGAAGCATAGGAAATAAGACTGGACTGGATATAATTTAGAAATAATAAGTAGGGAGCAAAGAGAATATTAGGTGAGCATGTCAGGGAAGAGAAGGTTCAAGAACAACGTCCTGGGAAGCAGTGTCATTTAGCAACAGAAGAAAAGCCGGAATATAAGCCGGAGAACTGACCTGACCAGCCGGAAAAAAAGAAAACTACTCTAGGAAAGCTAAGGAAGTGAAAGGTGTGACTGGCCAATAGAGTCAAATGCCACAAAGATAACAAGACAAGGGACAAGAAATGAGAAGAGTTCGAGCTTTAGCAGAGTTTCTGTAAGGCGATGGGATGAGTGACATCAGACTGCAGTTGGGAACAAATAGAAAATGATGACATGGAGAAAACTAGTCCCTCAAGAACCATAGCAATACAACTACATGTACAAAGATTAGGTCATTTAATTTGTACTAAGGAAAATATTACTAAACCAATCTTCATTCTATTATTCCTTAGGTTAACTTTAGTATAAACCTGAGTTTCATGTGTCTTTTGTAAAGTTCTACAGTTTTATTTTTTAAGGGAGGATGAAAGTCTTAGCCAAGGAATAGCAATGTGTATTTCCCAAACCTAACCTAGTATACCAAACAAAAGCAAGCATTACTCAGTGTTTTTCTATTTCATAACAAAACCCTAAACTATTTTATTATTTTTTTATCCTCACCTGAGGTCATTTTTCCATTTTTTGTTCAGGTAGAGTGGGAGGGAGAGAGAGAGAAACATCGCCGTGAAAGGGACACAATGAGTGGCTGCCACCCGCACGACCAACCAGGGCTGGGGACAAACTGCAACCGAGGTACGCGCCCTTAGTAGGAACTGAACCCGGGTCTCTTGGGATCACAGGCCAATGTTCTAACCACTGAGCCAAACCAGCCAGGGCCAAACCCTAAACTATTTTAAAAGATACAATACCTGTTCCATAACTTCAGGTGCCATCCAGCAAGGGGTTCCAACAAAGGTCTTTCTCACTTTATTTCGGGTAATATCACCACCCGTTGCTAAAAAAGCACTAACACCAAAGTCTGAAACAGAATATAACAAGGTATTAAAAGCACAGTAACATAAATGAATAGAAAAATAACATAATGTATAGTTCTATATACAACCAGCATGACATCTCTTCTCTCTGTTGAACTTTGTGTGTGTGTTTGTGAGAACAAAGCAAATTTTTATTATTCAGGTAGAGAAAAACAAAGAGGCCAGGGTGCAGGAGCCACTACGCAAGAAGCGAAAAGTACGCATCCAGTGGACATGTGCCAACCAGAGAGTAAGTTGAGCCTCTGTAAAACTTCTTCACTCAGGGAACACGGCTTAACAGGTCCTCTCCACCCAACACATCATCATAATCTCAGATGTTCCTCTTTGCTCCACTCCATTCTTTTCATTTTATCTTCCCAAAATGAAACTCTATACCCATTAAACAATAATTTCCCACTGCCCCCTCCCCCAGCCTTGGCAATCAGCATTTTACTTTCTATAACTCTGAGTAAAGTACCTCATATACGTGGAATTATACAGTATTTGTCTGTTTATAACTGGTTTACTTCACATCATGTTCTCAAGGTTTATCCATGTTGTAGTATGTCAGAATTTCCTTCCTTTATAAAATGAATAATATTCCATTGTATACATATACCACATTTTGTGTACTGATTACTCCATTGATGAACACTTGGTTTGCTTCCACGATGTAGCCACTATGGATAATGCTGCTATAAAAATGGGTGTACAAATATCTGCTGGAGTCCCTGCTTTCAGTTCTTTGGGGTTATATACCCAGAAATGGAACTGCTGTATCACCTAGTGTTTTTAATTATTTCAGGAACTGCCACACTGTTTGCCATAGCACCTGTACCATTTCACATTTCCACCAACAGTGAACAAGGATTCTAATTTCACCACATCCTTGTTATTTTCTGTTTTTGATAGTAGCAATCCTGGTGGGTGTGAGGTGGTATCTCCTTGTAGTTTTGATTTGCATTTATTTCTCTGATGGTTAGTGATGTTGAACAGCTTTTCATGTGCTTACTGGCCCTCTGTTTATCTTCTTTGGAGAAATGTCTATTCAAGTTTTAGGACTTCTCTGTAAATTCTGGATATTAGCAGTCTCTCATCAAAGGTATGACTTGCAAATATTTTCTACCATTTCAAGGGTTGACTTTTTTACTCTTTTGGTAGTGTCTTAGGCACAACATTTTAAAATTTTCATAAAGGCCAATTTGTCTACTTTTTCTTCTGTTAAGCCATGCCTTTGGCATCATTATCTAAGAAATCACTGCCAAATCCAATGTCATACAACTCTTTCCCTATGTTTTCTTCTAAGAATTTTAATGTGTTAGGTCTTATATTTATTATTATTATTTTATTCCTCACCCGAGGATATTTTTCTATTTATCATTAGACAGAGTGGGGAGGGGAGGAGAGAGACAGAGACAAACAGTGATGTGATAGAGACACATCGACTGGTTGCCTCCTGAATGACCCGACCAGGGCCAGGGATGAACTGCAACTGATGTACATGCTCTTCCCTGGAATCGAACCCGCAACTCATGGTCCGTGGGCCGATGCTCTAACCGCTGAGCCAAACTGGCCAGGGCTAGGTCTTACATTTAGATCTAAGATCCAGTTTGAGTTAATTTTTGTATATGTTATTAGATCTAAGGGTCCAACTTCATTCTTTTTCATGGGAATACGCAATTTTCTTAGCACAATTAGCCCTTTCCCCATCGAATGGTCTTGGCACTCTTGTCAAAACAATTTCACCCTATACAGGGTGGGGCAAAGTAGATTTATAGTTGTATGAGAAACAGTTTATTCTTGCATTATTATTTATTATTGTATTTTCTATACAAACAACTGTAAACCTACTTTTGCCAGAGAGTTTATTTCTGGGCTAGTTTATCGGTCTCTGTCTTTATGCCAATCACATACTGTTTTTATTACTGTCCCTTTGCAATAAGTTTTGGAAACAAGAAATATCAATCTTCCAGCTTTGTTCATTCTTTTTCAAGACTGTTTAGACTATTTGAAATTATATGAGATTCCATATTAATTTTAGGATGAGTTTTTCTATTTCTCCAAAAAAAAAAAAAAAATCACTGGGAGTTTGATAGTGATGCATTAAATCTGTAGATCACTTTGGGTAGTATTGACATTTTAACAATATAGATATCCCCCATTTTCTGGTTTGCATTATGTCACTTCACTTTTTTTTTTTTTATCCTCACCCAAGGACTTTTTTTTTCATATTTTATTCAGATAGTGGGAGGAAGAGAGAAAGAGAAAAAGCATCGACGTGAAAGGGACACATCAAGTGGTTGCCACCTGCACGAACCAACCAGGGACAGGGACAAACTGCAACTGAGGTATGTGCCCTTAGCAGGAACTGAACCCGAGTCTCTCAGGAACGCAGACCGACGCTCTAACCACTGAGCCAAACCGTCCAGGGCATGCCACTTCACTTTTATGAAATGTGACAATGTGAGTACCTGTTTTCACGAACCAAAAGAAACCCAAAAAGGATTTTCACTTTTTACCAAAAAAGCCGTTACCATACCAATGTAGGTTTTTGTGAAAGCAAGTAGCTTCAAATTAACTTTCTGAAAGCTGGAGATATTCTTTGCTTTAAGCCAATTTGGCTTATAAAAGATTTCATAAAAATTCTCTACTTCAGGATAGTAGGAAAACCAGTATAGACAGCATATAGTTGGATCATGTGTTTTTTGTTGTTGTTTTTTTAAATCTTCATCCGAGGACATTTTTCCATTTTTTGTTCAGATAGAGTGGGAGGGAGAGAAAGAGAGAGAAACATCGATGTGAAAGGGACACATCGAGTGGTTGCCACCTGCACGAACCAACCAGGGCCAGGGACAAACTGCAACCGAGGTATGTGCCCTTAGCAGGAACCGAACCCGGGTCTCTCTGGACCACAGGCAGACGCTCTAACTGCTCTATCCGGCCAGGGCGGATCATGTGTTTTTTTTTAATCCACTCTGTCAATCTCTGTCTTTTGATTGGAGAGTTAACCCATTTACGTTTAAAGCAACTACTGATATGAAGAGACTCCTATCACTGTATTATTTATTTTCTTTATGTCTAATAGTTTTATCCCTCATTTCCTACATTATTTTTGTACTTTGTGTGGAGTTGTTTCTTGTTGTGAAACCTTAATTTATTTTCTTACTTGTTTTTGTCTATATTCTATAGCTATTTTCTTCACAGCTATCATAGGAAGTACATTTAACACCCTAAAGTTTAACACACTAATCTGAATTTATACCAACTTACCTTCGATACACAGAAAAGATCTCCTTTACAGCCCTGTCCCCACCCTTTTTGGTTATTGATGTCACAAAATTACATCTTAATACACTGTGTGTTCAAAACCATAAATGAATGACTCTTTTAAATGCATTAGTGTCTTGAATTATGTAGGCAACAAGATGGAGTTACAAACTAATGTTACTGTAATGCTAACTTTTAGACCAATTAATTGTTTTTAGTAGTGTATTAGTCTCTTAAATTACACAGTAAACAAAAAGTAGAGCTACAAACCATAGTTACAATAATACTTACAATAATAACTTGTATACTTGCCCATGTATTTACCTTTATTGAGATCTTTATTTCTTCGTACTGCTTGGAGTTATTGTCTAGATCTTTTCATTTCACTTTGCAGGACTCCCTTGAGCATTTCTTGCAGGGCAGGCCTAATAAAAACATATTCCCTCAGCTTTTATTTATCTGGGAATATCTTAATTTATCCCTCACTTCTGATGAAGTTTTACCAGATACAGGATTCTTGGTTGACAATTTTTTCCTTTTAGCACTTGACTGCATTGGCCACTGCCTTTGGGCCTCCAAAGTTTCTCATAAGAAATTTGCTGACAATCTTATTCAGTATTCCATGTAATGAGTCAGTGTAATGATCATTTTTCTCTTGCTGCTCTCAAGATTCATGTCCCTAGCTTTCATAAGTTTGATTATAATGTGTCTCTGTGTGAGTCTCTTGGGGTTTTTCTTACTTGGTGGTCATTGAGCTTCTTAGATGTTTATATTCATGTCTTTCATCAAACTTGAAAAGTTTTTAGGCATTTTTCATCAAATACTCTCTCTGCTCCTTTCCTTCTTCTCCTTCTGGGCTTCCCATAATGTGTATATTGGTCCACTTACTAGTGTCTAACTAATCCCTTGAGCTCTGTTCACTTTTCTTCAACCCATCAGATTGTTAATTTCCATTTTCCTATCTTCAAGTTTACCAATTCTTTCTTCTGCCAACTCAAATCTGCAAGTAAATCTTCCAGTGAGTTTTTCATTTCATAGTACAAGTTATTGTACTTTTTAGCTCCATAATTTCTTTTTGGTTTCTTTTAGGTTTTCTCTCTTTATTAATAGTTCCATTTTGTTCATGCACTGCTTTCTTTGGTTTCTGTACATCATCTGTTATTTCTGTTACTTCTAAGATGGCTGTTTTTAAAATCTTTGTCTAGATCTGACATCAGGTCTTTTCACTGACAGTTTTTGTTGATTTATGTATTTCCTTTGAATAGACTGTATTTTGCAGTTTCACTGAATGCCTCGTGATTTTTTTTGTTGTTGAAACTGGAGATTTGCAACTGTGGAGATCAGATTCCACCTCATTTCCTGGGTTTTCTCTTTTTTGTTTTTGTTCTTTTAGTTGGTGCAGACTGCGTCTGTGTCAAGTATCAGCCTGAGGTGTAAACTTAAAGTCTTCTCAGATCCTTTCTGCACTTTTTCCTTGGCATATGCAGTCACTTTCCAATTTCTCCTGTAAATGTAGTTGTTTTTAAATGTTCTACTCTTTAATGTCTGGCTCCAAAAAGGGAAAGAAGAAAAAAATGAAGGGAAGAAAAAGGGTACTGGCCTGGTAAGTCCCTTGGAAGTCATTGGGGGGAGGGGATTTAACAACCATAATGGCTGCTCGCCTCTTTGCCTGCACCTTTGTGATCCGAAGCAGCAATCAGTGATCAGAGCACAGATACCTGATATTTGGAGAACAGAATCCTTTTTTCCCACTATGGTTCCTACAAGGTGTGTGCAAACTGCTCCAAAACATATGTACAGCTGCCTACAAGTGGCTGATGGGTGAGAAATGAATAGCTCTGAAATTGACCAAATTAACCACAATTTACCTTCCAAGACCTTCCCTAGAATTTTCAAGCCTTCAATGGTCTCCAGAATTCCAAAACAGTTACACTAAGTCCTCACTTAAAATTGTCAGTAGGTTCTGTGACTTTAGGTAAAACAATGTATAATGAAACCAATTTTACAAACAAGAGTTAAGTTCCTATGGCATGTCATCAATGTGATAATGAAATGACGAACAAAATGTTATCAAGAACCCCACTGTACATCAGACAGATTCCGCCAGTTCAACTGCTGTCTAGGTGGGCAGACAGACTCCTGGTGATTCTACTCACCATTTTCCCAGAATCCTCTTGTCTTATTTTTTTTCCACTTCATTTTGCTTCTCTAAGCAATACAGCACAAATATCCCTGATGTTAAACTTATAAAAATGGAATCACATGCTACACACAGGGGTGAGCAAAAGTAGGTTAATAACAAAGAATACAATTAATTAATAAATAATAATACAAGAATAAACTGTGTTTTATGCATTCACAACTGTAAACCTACTTTTGCACACCCCTATATTCTATTTTGACTGGCTTATTTCATCCTATGTCTTTATAATTTATTAATGCTTTTGTATATATAGTTGTAATTCTATTCAATTTCATCAGTAGCTAGTATTCTAATGTACAAATTAACCACAATTTATTTATCTATTCTACTAATAAAGGGCTTGGGACTGTTTCACACTTTTAATACTTATGAGCATCATGGCACTTATATAAGCATGAGTTTCTCTACGCAATGCCATTTAAAAGCCAAAGTTTTAGGATATACATATCTTTAACCTAATGAAGTGTTTATACTAATTTACACTCCCACAATCAGAGTATGAGATTTTTCCTTGCTTTACATCCAGACTAACAACTGCTATTATTAGATGTTTTAGCCAGCACAGCCAGTAGTATAATGTAGTATTATCCCAATGTTATTTTACTTTGCTTTTAATTACCAGTAAGGTCAAATACCTTTTATTAAATTTATGTTCTGATGTATTCATTTGGAAAGTCTCTTGTCTATTTTTAATCAGAGTTTTTCTTAAGGAGTCCTTTATATATTCTAAATTTGAGTTCTTTATCAGTATTCAGGCTGTGAATATCTTCTCTACTCTGTGGTTTGCTTTATAACTTATTAATGGTAATAAACTGTTGGTTCCTCTTTTGATGACTAGAAGTTGCTAATTTTAAGTCAAATCTATTATCTTCTCAGATAAAATACCACTTTCTCAGATAATATGCTTGCTCAACAATACTGCCATTCAGTCATTCTGGAGTCCCAGCCCGAAGCAAGGGTTATTTCACCAGCATAGCCACCGTCGGCAGACCATGGACTCCAACTCTTCAGCTCTGAATCTCCCAAAGTATACTTCCACCTGTCAGATACCTCTTCCTATTTGGCTAATACCCCATGCCCTCCAGTACAGTAGCAGCTCTATCACTTTTCTATAGCATATGTATTCTTAAACACAATGAGGTTTCTTAACTACTTCTCCTTTAAAGTAAAGTACAGAATGCTATAAAAACTCATAGAAGGAGACCCTAAATGGAGAATAAAGAGTAGATAACTAGAAGGTAAAAAGTAATGGTCAGAAATATGTCTAAGAGAAAATGCAGACTGAGTAGCAAAGAGTACGTATCTTCAGAGTCAGAATAGGTATGCCAATATAGGATGCTTGACTAGGAATGGTCTGGGGAAGAGCAAATTGACTAAGAAAACAAAAAGATCAGTAATGTGCTTCCACTGACCATTAAATAAAGATAAAAATAAATACTAATCATTACCTGCAATCTGTACTGAGCCATCTTCTCCAAGAAGAATATTTCCAGCTTTTACATCTCTTTAAGAAAAAAAAAAAGTTACATATTAAAATAACACGTATTCTTTGGAGTCACATGATTTAAGAAACTGTTTACTATATTCATACAACATGGCAACTGAAGTGTATATTTTGCATTAAAAGGTATCAAGGCCAGTAGTAAAATTTAAATAATTTTAGTCACTTGTACTGGAATCCAAACATTGTAAACAAAAAACTAGAATAACATATAGCTTTACTATAAAAATCTAGAAAAGCCAAGATGATTAAATGCTTAATTGGGATAATAATAATGGCCAAAGAATGTGACTCTAACCTAATTCTACTTTGTGAAATATACTGATTTTTTCTACACCCTAATATATGATCAAAAATTTTAAATGGGCCTTGGCCAGTTTGGCTCAATGGTTAGAGTGTTGGCCTGCGGTCCACAGAGACCTGGGTTCGGTTCCCGCTAAGGGCATGTACCTTGGTTGCAGTTTGTCCCTGGCCCTGGTTGTGTTGTGCGGGTGGCAGCCACTTGATGTGTCCCTTTCACTTCGATGTTTCTTTCTCTCACTCTCTTCCTCTCTCTCCCTTCCACTCTATCTGAACAAAAAAAATGGAAAAATGTCCTCAGGTGAGGATAAAAAAAAAAAATTTTTTTAAATGGTCAGTATGACCATAGAATAATAGAGATTATTCTATGACTGTAGCATAAAGACAGATATAAATTATTCAACATCTCTGTATTTCACTGATAACTATAGCAACTCAAGTAATATATTAATACATTCTTGTTATAAAAACCTAAACATGCCCTGGCCAGTTTGGCTCAGTGGTTAGAGTAGAGTGTCGGTCTGTGGTCCAGAGAGACCTGGGTTCAGTTCCCGCTAAGGGCGCATACCTCGGTTGCAGTTTGTCCTCCGCCCTGGTTGGTTGTGCGGGTGGCAGCCACTCGATGTGTCCCTTTCACGTCGATGTTTCTCTCTCTCTTCCTCTCTCTCCCTCCCACTCTACCTGAACAAAAAATGGAAAAATGTCCTCGAGTGAGGATAAAAAAATAAAAATAAAAACTAAAACATCACTGAAACGACCAACGTCTCTTTCACTACTATTCTCAAATATAGCATTCTCTTGCAATTTTCAACTGTTAGCAGTCTGATTAATAGAATATCTTCCTATAACATATCTGGGTTTTTCTTCCAACATAAATGATGTCATACTAGCCATTCCAATTTACAATTTATTTTTCTCATGAAACAATGTATTAGTAATATCTGGTAAAATTTTAAATCTGTAAATCCTACAAGTAGCAAAAACACTCCTTGATAACCTAGAGAAACTCTCACAATATACAGGAAATGCACAATGGAGTTCACTGAAGCATTATTTGTAATAACCCCAAATGATAACAGCCTAGAAAAGCAACAACAGCAGAAAGGTTAAAATTAATTGTTATAGCCATGAACTAGAACAAGGTCAATCAACACATTATGATTTGAAATTCCCTCTAATACGTACACTGCTAAGTGAACAAATCAAGCAGAACAGTGCATTTTGCACGCACACACACACACACACTCACACACACACACCTTACCATATATAACAAATGAAGAGCAATGAATGGGTTCCTTTTGTGGAGAGTAGTGGGACTGGAGTCAAGGGGAACAGTGTTTGAATATCTTATGGGACTAGATTCATCTATTTATTTTGTAGTTAAAAATAAATATAATTAAATAAATAAAAGGCAGCCAGCCCTTGAATCTAGACAAGAAAGAAAAGCAAGACTAGCTCATGGAGGAAGGCCTTGTTTGTCACGAAAAGGAGCCAGTGAAAAGCACAACTCTTTACCCTTTTCCTGTGCATCTTGTTTTCCTTCATCTTTAGATAAAACCATTCCTTGTTAAATGAACTACAGTTTCATAATTATGTGCATCAGCAACACCATACTAGAGTATATAATCCCTTTCCTGAATATATACTAAAGCATAAGATAATTGTGTTAGTGAGTATTTTGTACTGCTTATAAATCTAAACAATTTACAGGACATTTTTCTAGAGGCTGACTTACAGTGGAGGCTAACTCACTTTGCTCTACAAACCTGAAGTCTCTGACTCTAGATACTATGAACAGGAGGAAATTGAGGACATTCCCTTCCCTTGGTGACAAAGACCATTCAAATGAGTCAACCATGAACCTTCAACTCCCTTTTTTTCTGGAATGTCACCTAAAATTCAATGGAAAAAACAATGCATGGTTTAGTTACTTCCTCCTTTGTGTTTGTACAGCTGGCTATAATACAATGTTACTACAGATCATAGAAATATGAGCATATTTCTGGGTCTTTCTCTGTTTCATCATGAGCCATATCTGGGACTATATATCATAATACATTTCTATATCACCTACAGTTAATTATTTAGTATTATGATTAGAACATAGGAGCATCTCCCAGATAGTTAACAAATACATTTAAATAACCAAATAGAAGACAACCTGTCTCAAATCCTCATGGAGGTAAGTGTGATAATAAGTAAGTAAATCCAACAAAACACTAAAATAAAATCTGATTGTTTCTAGAGAGAAGTGCAATATTAAATCAAGGAATTTAACTAAATACCAAAATAAAATTTGATTGTTCCCTCCCCAATGTCCCAACTCCCAATTCTGTTCCAAATGTTAGGCTTATAAACCAATAGGCAGTAGTCTAATAGGATAAACCAAACTACACTTCAATAGGAGATGAGTGAAATTGTAGTATAGCTATATAACGAAATACTATAAATACTAATGAATAAATGTGTTAACATACAGCAATCTCCAAATATATTCTTAGTGAAGAATATTACATATGTACATTGCCATTTGTCTGGGAGGTTATTTTTGTTGCTGTTTTTTAAAGCAGGAGAGGGATATATACATTATGTTTATATTAGACTATAATCTCTCTCAAAGGCATCACAAGAAAATGGCAAGACTAGGCTACTAGAGGTTCAGGGAAGGAAAAAGACTGTTCTATTTTTTTTAGAACAGCTTTCAATTTACATAAAAATTGAGAAGACTGCAGTACACCTAGTACTCAGTTTCCCCTATTAGCATCATACATTAGTATGGTACTTTTACCACAATTAATGAACCAGTATTGATGCATTACTATTAAATAAAGTCCACCATTTATTCAGATTTTTTTCAGTTTCTATCAAATACCCTTTTTCTGTCCCAGGATCCCGTCCAGTGCCAGTACATTATATTTAGTTGTCATTTCTCCTTAGGCGCCTTGTCTATGACAGTTTCTCTGACTTTCCTTGGTTTTAATGGCCTTCACAATTTTGAGGAGGAAGAATTTAGTATTCTGTAGGACGGCCATCTAATGGAATGTGCATGCTTCCCTCATTAGACTGGTGTTATGAGTTCTTGGAAGTAAAACCACATAAGCAAAGTGCCATTTTCATCACATCACTTTATATCAAAAGTACATAATATCAACATAATTTAGCTGCAGTTGATATTGAGAAGATTCATTTATTTTTATCATATACCTTTTTGTCCTGTTTGAACTTTTTTTTTAATCCTCACCCAAGGATATTTTTTTCCATTATCCTCAGATAGAGTGAAAGGGGGAGAGAAAGAGAAACATCGATGTGAGAGAGACATCAACTGGTTGCCTCCTGCATGACCCTGATCAGGGCAGGGGACTGAACTGCAACCAAGGCACATGCCCTTGACCAGAATCGAACCTGTGACTCTTTGGTCCTCAGACCAACACTCTAATTGCTGAGCCAAACTGTCCAGGGCTTGTGCTGTTTGAACTTTTTAAGCCATGCATATGTATTGCCTATTTAAATTATATTTTATAAGTTTTTGTCTTTCCTAAGTGAAGAGACAGTCACCCATTTTCGGTAGAACCTTCACCTTTCCTGAGCAAATTGCCAGAACATCAGTTCATGTTTCCCTTTTGAAACCACAAGTGCAACCTGTATAACAGCTTCCAGGAGTAAAAGCAGAGGAATTTCATGCAGCAAAATGGCTCACTGGACAACTAAGCACACTACGATCTGTCCTCACACACAAAAGGACAACTGACCTTTCAAGAAAAAGATTTGTAACTAAATATCTGGCAATCAATACAATCCTTGATTAACAACTGTTTTTACTCTGTCACAAAGAATAGCAATAGCCCCAACAGTTAAATGCTCCATCCACTCTTAAATAACAAGAAAGGTGAGGGCTGCCCGGCTGGTGTGGCTCAGTGGATTGAATTGTCCAATGTACTGAGATGTCTGGTTCGATTCCCGGTCAGGGCACATGCCCAGATTTCAGGCTCTATCCCCAGTAGGGGGTGTGCAGGAGGCAGCCGATAGATAGATGCTTATCTCTCATATTGATGTTTCTCTCTCTGTCTAAAAAAATAAAAACATATTAAAAAAAAAAAAAAGGTGAGTGCTGTTTTTCTCAGCTTAATGCTATTTCTCACATGTTACTATTGCACCAGAGTTACAAATTCCTTTTAATATTAAATGAGATATTAGACATGCTTGACTTTCTCATTAGTACAGAACAGTTTTCTTCCATGACATTTTTGTGACTCACCAATCAGCACAGTTTATGGAAAATTTGAAAAAAGTCAAGAGAAGAAACAAATCAAAACAAAAGCTGGCAGCCCTGGCTGGTGTGGCTCAGTTGGTTGGGCACTGTCCTGTGCCAAGGTTGCAAGCTTGACCCCAGGTGGAGGGGGTTAAATATCTAACATTTCTGTTACAGTTAATTTCTTTAATGGGAAAAATATTTGCATTGGTAGATACAGAGAGAAAAGTATAAGTCTAATATAGAGACCTGTTCACCCTAGTCAAAAACCTCTAAAGTCTAGCCCAGCCGGTTTGGCTCAGCGGTTAGTGTCGGCCCGTGGACCAGAGAGCCCGGGTTTGATTCCCGCTAAGAGCACATACCTCTGTTGCGGTTTGTGTGGGTGGCAACCAATTGATGTGTCTCTCTCACATCGATGTTTCTCTCTCTCTCCCCCCCCTCTCCCTCCCAC